GTGAAGCCCTTCTATAGCATTGCTTTCTCTCCTCCCTCCCATTCCCCTCCTTGCCACTGCTTTTCATTCTTAATCTTCCTTGTCTTGATATCAGACTTGCATTGCTATTGGAACTCTTGGTATATATTGCGACTGCCTCAACGTCGTTGTACTCACTCTCACTGCCATTGTTCGCGTCATTAATGGAACCAATTAAATGCATTCTTTATGAATCCCAATGCGGTTATAGTAAGTAAGAGATCATTAACCTTACTAGCCAACTAAGGCATAGCTCATTGCCACTGGATCGGCGCCCAGATACCGTACAAAGCTATATTGCAGCTATCACCATCCTCTTGATGGCCGTTCAACGCACTACAGTCGACTCCCTCTTCACGCATACCTCTTGGGATAGCCCCAGAGGTATGGCTTATTAAGGAGTATGGGGTATTCAAGAGAGCAAAAGCCCTGCAAACTAACTTTGGAAATCCAAAAATGTATGTCCTATGAGGGAGTATGGGTTATACCCGGTATGCGTTAGGAGGGAGTCGACTGTAGTCGAAAGTACATATAATGCGACCATTACAATTCCCTCTCAGCCTTCGCTGCCTGAGATGTATTTCTCAACCCATGCAGGAAAGTATAAAAAATGATCCCCGAGGGACCGTCTGGTTACATCATAAACGCCAATCGTTCGTGAAGTTCATGGTGTTTGCCACGTGCATCTTCAGAGAGGTTGAAGGTAACAGCAGATCTATGATTGACTAGCGGAATCACGAATCATTGCACGCATGAGATGGATTATATTATTTAATCACATGTGGTAGAGCCATCTTGGTAGGTTTTATCATTTTTCCGGGATTCCAAAAGACAGCGAGAAGTAGCGTACCGTAAGATGGTGACTGCGCGCTGGGATCCATCGAGGTTCTGGGGGAATAAAACAATACTTGCCTCAAATTACTCTGGCCAGTCCTGTTCTGGACGCTGCGACGTTGCAGCCAGTTGATATAACAAGGGATAAAAGGTAATGTAGGTTAGATGGTGTTCCCAGCGTGCAGAGTAATGTACATAGGAAGTCAAAAATTTGTGCATAAACAACGCGTCCTATTTATTAACTGATCACGAGACCAAAATAAACTCCCTTTTGAGCGTAATGAGCTATTATGTAATATAGACTGCTGTGCCACTTCTGGAGACACGTCCCTGGAGCAACACCGCGAGTATACATTATAAGTGACAATTTCAGGAAAGGGGATTGCGAGAGAGGCGAATTATTCTGTAAGATCTTTGTATTGGTTACTCAGGGGATGTGCTGACCATTATCATGCGATCTGTCCCTCGTCTAGTACCCATCTGTCAAGCTCAAGTCCAACGTCATTCAACACATTCGCTTCACACTCTCCGGGGCTTATAACTGTCGATTCCTGTCATGTGGGAGCGCACGCTCCAGGATCTTATTCGCGGCTTGCGGGCCAACAAGAACGATGAAAGCAAATTCATTGGACAGGCCATGGACGAGATCAGGCGTGAAATCAAGAGCAAGGATATGGAGCTCAAGGCTGGTGCTGTCATGAAACTTACATATGTGCGCTGCTCTTACTATCGATAAGCTTCGAGCCTGACATCCTTTGGTAGCTGGACATGCTAGGATATGACATGAACTGGGCTTCCTTTCACATCATAGAAGTCATGTCATCCCCAAAGATTCATATCAAGAGTGTAGGATATCTTGGTGCCGTCCAGTCGTTCAGCGAGGACACGGACGTGTTGATGTTGACTACCAATTTGCTTAAGAAGGTGAGAGGCAGGAGGCCCAGCCCTTTACTGTGAAACACGCCATTGAATTACGTTCAGGATCTAAGTTCAACACCTGCAGATATCGCAGTCACTTTAAACGGTGTTTCTTCTATCATGACCGCAGACCTTGCACGCGACCTCAGTCCTGAATTGGTCGGCATGCTCAATCACTCCCGACCCCACATACGCAAGAGAGCAGTTGCTGCCATGTACAGAGTGTTTCAGAAGTATCCTGATGCCCTCCATCATGGTATCGGTCGATTGCAGGAAAAGCTAGAGGATTCTGATCCAGGTCAGCTCAAGCTAGACGAGATCAAGCTGCTTGTTTAACCAAAGCACGCACCCCCAGCTGTGGTTTGCGCGACAGTAAATGTCTTGTGTGAGCTCGCCCGGAGAAATCCCCAAGACTACCTTCCGCTCGCCCCACAGCTCTTCCATCTCCTAACCACATCGTCTAACAACTGGATGCTCATCAAAATTGTCAAGTTGGTATGGACCTCACTTGATTTTTACGAACCCACTTACTCTTATTAGTTTGGTTCTCTCTCACCTCATGAACCGCGGCTAGTGAAGAAACTGCAACCGCCGATCACTGATTTGATATCCACAACGTCTGCGATATCCCTTCTATACGAGTGTGTACACACATGTATCATCGGTAATATGCTACAGGGCATCACTGGCGACTCGCTTGCACGGACGTGTGTGTCAAAACTCGCGGCATTCATTGAGGATCCGGATCAGAATCGTCTGTGATTTACTTTGTCCTTTGAACGGGTGTGACTAACTAAGCTACAGTAAAGTACATTGCTTTGCTTGCAATGGTGAAGATTGTACCTACACACCCCCATTTGGTCGCAGAGCACCAGGATACAATCCTTTCCAGTGTCGATGATGAAGATATCAGCATCCGTATGCGTGCGCTAGATCTGCTCTCAGCACTCGTAAGTTATCGTGAAAATTCTTCTGCTTGTATAACATAAATTCTGTAGGTCAATCGAGACAATCTACAATCAATTGTGCAGCAGTTGCTGTCGCATCTTGTCAAGCCAGAGTCCTCCGCCATTCCGTCTGCAGTACAATCCTTATCTCAACACATCATCCCTTCTACTCCTGCCAAGTCCCCGGGTGCACCATCTCAGTCCACAGCCTATCGCCTTGTTCTGTCACAAAGGATCATGACAATGTGTTCTCAAAACACCTATGACAATGTATCCGATTTTGAATGGTACCTCTCAGTCCTCGTTGACCTCGCATACGTATCGAATGTCGATATTGGCACGCAAATTCGCGACCAACTTGTAGACGTTGTCGGACGCGTGAGAGCGGCTAGGGGCTATGCAGTTAAGTTGATGGTGAAGGTATTGTCTGACGATACTTTCTTGCTGCACGCAGGTGAGCAGGGTAGCTGTTCCGAGGTGCTGTGGGCAGCGGCTTGGATATGTGGAGAGTTCTGCAGGTGCGTTTCAATAATTAACTCCCTTCCGATATGCTGAACGATCGTACTACAGCGAGCTTTCTGCGCCGGACGAGCTTATTCCCTACTTACTCCAGCCAGAGATTGCGTCTCTGAGACCCGACATAGCCGCTGTGTGCATACAATCGGCCACGAAGCTTTTCGGATATTGGGCTTCTGAAGCGGCAAAGCAGTGGATGGAGAGCTTCCTTGAAGACCTCAAGCAAGCCGTTGATATCATGATTGAACAGATGGAACAACTTGCATCGAGCACCCAGATCGAGGTCCAAGAACGTGTGAGTGACGAGGATCGCAACGATCAGGGATTCGCAAATTACTCAATTCATTTTTGTAGGCTGCAAACGTTCTTCAGCTGCTTATTTTCATCAAGCGCGATGTCGCGATGTACAAACCAAAGCAGGAAAATGGGTTCTCGGACCCGAGTGCAGCTGCCTTCGACCCCGTATCAGAACCGAGTTTTCCAAAGAGTCTCTACCTTATTCAACCACTCTTCTCATCGCATGAACTCAATCCTGTTGCATCCATCGCGCAAGCGAGTGTGCCCGTTCCTGACGGGCTTGATCTGGACGCGTGGATTGTGCCGTCAATGCAAGATCGCGTCGCAGAAGGGGGTGATGACGGTGACGTGACTGAGCGGAAGATCAAGAGGAATAAGAAAGGGAAAGAGAAGGAGTCTGGCAGCAGAACGAAGGTTAAGGGTGGGAAGAAGAAGCAGAAGGAGGGGGGCTACCAGGAGGAGCTTGCACCGCAGGAAGAAGAGACAGCTGAAGAAAAAGCTGAACGAGAGAGGGTAGGCATTGACCACAATCTCCGCATCACTTCGACTTAACTAACATTCCACAGCTTAAGGCCGAGCGATTGGAACGAATGCGGGACGACCCATACTACATCATGGACGACCGATCTCCAAAGCCTTCTGCAGAGGATGTTGATTCAATCCCCGTTGTCCGACTAGATGGTCCCTTACCAGTGTCACAAGGTATTTTTCTCTCCACGCACATGAACATGGCTGACACCCCTGTAGAGGAACCTCGCCTTCCTGGGCTGAGAAGCAGCGCGTCCATACGATCCGCTCCTCCGTTGTTTGTCGTGCAAAAAGAGGGCGAGATGCCTGCGGGCGTTGTCATAACATCACAACCGTCAACTCCCGTGCCATCCTCACGGCGCCAAACCCCAAACCTATTTGACGCCACCACAACGCCTCCGCCTTCCCTTCCTTCTTTCCAATCATATGAAGTTCCTGATGACGAACTACGCACGAGCACTCCAGAGCCTATCAAAGTCACGCGTGCAAAGAAGAAGGGAACAAGTACAGTAAAGAAGAAACGAACAGTGAAACCAGATATGAAGGTAGGAGATGAAGGCACAGTAGTTCCACATTGATATAATATCGTGCCGTTGTCAATGGCCCTGGCGCTCGTTTTCAACATGTTTTGTGATGATACTTGGGCCCAGATCGGCAACGGCAGCGGCAGCATTCGTTTCTTCAAACCCACTTCGTTTACTTGAAATAGGGTTTTATTCAATTGATATGTGCTGGCATGCTCGCAAGGTGGACTAAAGGTTTGAGATTGAATCCATATGCATACCTGATATGAATGAGCCATAAACATGTTCCGCAGTGTTTTTGACAAAGGCGCTACGCAAGAATCTCCAGACAGCTAGAAACGCCTTTGAAGACTTAAATGTGGACGCTAGCGCATATCACGCTCGCTTCAAATGCGCACGAGGGCACAACGAAAATAACATGATACTAGTAATTAAACGGGACTACAACAACGCTCACCAGTGTTCTCAGTATTATCTCTACAATTAGGGCCAGTCCTATGAAGTTCCTTCTCTCTTAGTATCGGTGCCCGTGTTCTTCATCAGTGAGGGCTCACATTTTTGGCTACCAGAGTCAGTTCCACGTTGGAAAAATCCACGGGGAAGAAACACTTGACGGACGATAACCCAGAAACGTGCTGGACATCGCGACAGGTACAACAATGTTCCCTTGGTTGGAGACATCATTGACCTCGGAGATGGGTAGGGTCCTGCGCAGTATGTCCATCTAACATTCGAAGAGCCAGTAATACCCAAGCGTATCATCATCATTTTCCAGGGCGGATTTGTCGGAGCCAGATATAGAGTCGAGGTCTCGGAGTCATCAGATAGGCCCGAATGGCAGACGTGGACATATATCCACCCCGAGGATGCGAACCGGCGTCAAACTTTTGACTTGACCATAGTGATGGATTGCCAGGGGAGGGAATTCAGAGCATGAAACTTGTTTTCGAGGAGAGTTCTGATTTTTACGGTAGAATCACAATCTATGAGTTGAAGATTGAAGATCTCCTGCTTTGAAGTGACGAGGAGCTGGCTCAACCATATTCAAGAGCTCACTAGAGCCAAGCCTGCCGTGGGTCTGTGACATGTATGCGCAGCGCCGAGAAATTTGCACTCGAAGCACCCCAGTAAAAATTCAAGTTTTGTTGAAGGTGAACTCGGAATAAGATATATATTACGTACATACCGGAACAAACTCAAATCAATTTTTCTTGTACACACGTACCAACGTACCGTTTGAACTCTGCACCATCCAACGATGAGGCATCCATGAGGACCCGTCTAGTATTCATTTACAGTATGTTTAGACTGCTGTCATGATACCCGAAACCACGGGCAACTTCACGCATACGAGTCTAAGCCTCTGGCCCAATGTCTCGTCAAAATTGACATGACTTTTGATACGCACCGCGGTCCGCAAGCCTTGGTAGGAACATCAACACAAGCATTCGAACCGCACCCCATTTTGTATCTTCCGTTTGGCCTTGGTTTGGCCTGTATCTTCTACTCTGACATGGTGGTATTCCTCTCTTATCCTTTCTTGACCGCTCCCTTATTCAACTTCTACAGTGAACAGCGAATGACCGTGAGCAAAATATTACCTGGTTCTCGGATGTTTGGTTACAGAACATTAATTGCGCGCACTACAAACACCTACATGTCCTCAAATATCACTTTTTGCCCACCAATAACGCAGTTTTGTGACAAGCATTTCCTACGTATGCTGTCGCCTCATCTCATCCAGACTTCACGCGCCAGGATATCTGGCGCTTCTGTGCTGTGTTTCAGGAGCCGTAGTGGTGCAAATCAACGCCTGAGACGACTGTCCAACGAGAAGAAGTTCTTCGATGTTCCCTGAAAGTCGATGCCATCGACAAGGATATATTTTTTTCGCTCGCCTATCCTTCACCGTATCAATCGTCCTTCCGGGCCAGACAGGTTTTCCTTGCATTTAGCATCGCCTTGTCAATCTTCATGACCGCATATACAGGCACTAAAAGTGATTGGTTGTAGGCTCTCAGCAGGGTGGCAAAGACACGTTTGCATCGATCAACCAATGTTGCAAGACGGCGATTTCCTCCAACTTGTGTGGTTTTGAAAATACGGAAGCAAAATGACGGTCGGTCTTGTGTCTTCATCAGACGAGTCAAGTTCTGCCAGGATATTGCGATGTATGAACCAAGAAACAAAATATAAGTGTGAGTACTCGCAAGAAAGTCTAATAAGAATATTCGTATCCACGCCGTTTGGCGTCTGGCGTTTGGGTCTTCTCGAATCGGATGTTGGTGAGCCGTCTCAATAATCCTGCGTTTACAACGCGATACGAAAGGTGTAGATCAAGTTCTGCATTGTCCATTTCACTTCGCATAGGTTTGTTCTTTGTCGCTGTTGTTGACCCGTTCACTGAGTATGCCATTTCTCCAAAGCACCGACATAACTTACGGAGATCTGATGGATCTTATCACTCATGTAATTTGGCCTTGGATCTATGATTACTCAACTGTTCGTGGAGCCAGAAACATAAGTTGTGGTTCGCCGATCGGATTGTTCACCTCAGGAAAGCACAGACATCCACAGCGCACCTACAACGTGCTGCTCGTCTTTGCATCACGGACTTGCAAAAAGAGTGGACAACTCAAGCGTATATGCAAAGCTGAACACATCGAGCAAAATGGCCACTGCTCCACCTAATGCACAATAGTCCTCCACAGTAAACGTTCGCCGAAAGCGAGATCCCCACAGTGGAACCACACTTTCAAAGCGGCACGCGAAGACCATATAAATATTGCTTCTGTGACCTTCATCCTCCATCCCTTACACGATACACCTGCTGCTACTGCGAACACATACCCATTCTCATAACATCTTAATCGAATATCTGCTGGCTCAGGTACATGTATTCCCAGCTTCGATACCTACATTTTCTAACTAAATCTACTTCTTACCTTTAGATGACTCAATCTCCCTCACATCCCTCATTGCACGGTTCCGACTCTTCCAATGCAAACCAGGACACCCCAAACACTGGCATGCATATGGGTCAATTTCCCTGGCCCCATCCCGCACACATGCATCATCCAGGCTATGCCCCCGCACCCCCCTGCTTCCCGTACGGTGTCCCTCCCCCATACGCGCATGCTGGAGTTGTGCATCACGCGCCCCAAGCGGGACAACATGGTCAATTCCCTCCTGCGGTGACCCACGTTTCGCATGCCACTCATGTTGGCCCACCGTTAACTACTGCCGCTTTTCCTCCACAACACCCATCCGCGCCCCCCATGTACCATCAACCCTTCCCGTCGGGGCATTTTCCAGGAGTCACGACCTCCTATGCAACTCACACATCGTACCACCCATACTCCCAAGACCGTAACGTCAAGCGAATTGAAATGGGCTCCGACGAGATAGAGGACGACCCGCTCTTTGTAAGTTTTCTCTTTAATTTTGTGAGGTCGCGTTTTGACCCTTGGGACAGGAACCCATGTTAGATCAACATGGTCAACACGATGGGAGATATGTGTGTTTAAAGGATGGCATGCTCATCCGTCCTGCAAGTTACAAACGCCATCTCAAGACAGAAAAACATCTTGGTTACAAACCAACGGAATTCACATGCCCTCGTTGTCTGCACACGTACGTATTCCTACTCTCAAACAAGCGCGTCTCATCATTGATATTGTTGTGATTAGTTATACCCGACGTGATGCCTGCAAGAGGCATTGGGAGGACAGTTGTGGAAAGCTAGTAGCTAATGGTCGGCTATCCTATGCAGCTGCTTGCCGAGCTTTCACGAGTTTGAATTCTGCTTTAGCTCCTGCGTCGTTCATGCCCCCTTTACCCGCGACCACCACGACGACGTCCCATAGCTCACCACCCGAGATCATCCCGACAAACGCCACAAACCCTTATTCCTGGGCAGCTAGTGACATACAGGACCCTCCTTTGGTGGCACCTGTACTTCCCCCATCCGAAGGGCAGGACATTGCACTTGCAGAGGTCCACGATACTTTGGCGGCTGATGCGATGCAAGAAAACCCTTTGGTGACACCCGTGCTTCCCCCATCTGAAGTACGAGAGATTACACTCGCAGAGGTTCGCGGATGCATTCCCTTTTGGAGGTGGATTAATGACACGGAGGGCCTGGTGGATCCCCTCCCTCCCATCACTGAGCCTCCATCCTCTCGCCTGCCAGAGGGCATGCTCGTAGACGCCGCCGAAGACCCGGATGTTTGGCGCCTCATTAATGAGATAGACAACTTTGTAGATCCCGAAATTCCTCTCTCCGAGTCTTCCACAGACGCTGCCGAAGACCCTGATTTTTGCAACTTTCCAATCAGGACCCTTTTGGTATGCTCTTGGCTAGACAATTCTTACGGGAGTGATCTACACCAACGATCTCCCTCTGAATTACCACCTCTCTCTTCTGCCCCCGTCGACCATGAGATGTAGAGTTCATTTCATATTTACCAACTATCTACTATTCTTTCCATGTCTTGCTACTTCCTGTCGCCGATTCACGTATAGCACCACACATTCTTTTCATTCTCCCTCGCATAACACACCACTTCTCGTTCATTTCTTTACCAACTATTCACTATCCTTTCCTTGCTTTGCTTCTTGCTGTCGCCTATTCACGTATAGCACTACACGCTCTTTTCCTACTGTATGGCATAGCCCGCTACCACGTTCATTTCTTTACCAACTACCCACCATCCTTTCTATGTTTCCCCCCTTGCTGTCGCCTATTGACGTATAGCACCACACGTTCTTTTCATACTCCATGGCATAGCGCATGTCCCACTACCTCTTGTTCATTCTTATTATTACTGTCATTGTTATTGTCATCCTTAGGGTGAAATGCACACATTCCTTGTATATACGTGCTGGCAGATCTAAGGAACTAGCGAGCAGGTGAGGTGAAACGCGTCATCATACTCATTCTCAAAACCTTGCAACCGAGCGTTGCTGTAGATATCATAAGATTCATGCAAGTACAACGGTGTGTCACACGCCCGATATTGGTTGAGTCTGTCAATCTAGGATGCACAGTAAGCATCGGAATAGACTTCGCAAAGACCCCAGACCTACCAGGTTCAAGGTATATAATATCAGTATTATAGACATACGCAAATCAAGCTTCCTCAGTCATTTCCTCTCAAGGTCACCGCTAGCATGACAGGGGACAACGGGTGAATCGTTGTTGATGTCGACCGCTGTTCACTTGAGCCCCTTTGAGGCACCACTGAGCACCACCAATCGTTCGAGCGCTCCAGATGAGTCTGTGTCCTAATATCTAGTTCGGAGCCAATCAGACTTTGTGACATCGGCAGCGACATTCATTCTCAATCCATCGACAGTCAGTACATATGTACTTGAACATAGGTGAAGTAGTGGGCAGGTCGAGTGATGAGTAGAGGAGGATGAGGATGAGGATTGCCGGAGTTTAGAGGGGGTTGTATTATACAAGCATACCGCATCTGCAAGCCAGAAAATATCAAAAACAGATTCTATTGGTCATTCGTACAACAACTTTTTCTCTCTTTTCCGGTACGCTATTCCCAGGACAGCTCGCAGAGCACCACGTCCTAACAGTTTCGTTTATTAATGTATAAATTCTCTCATGTGCAATGCGAATAGTTTTACATACATGCTCGGGTGACACAAATCAGACACCAGTTTCCTTGGAGTAAACGCTTGAAGTCTTTTGATGCATCTTCAAGATGACCTGCATGAATATGAACAAGATACAGCCGCTAGTTGCGACGCTCTACATAACGTGTTAGCCAAAAGCCGACAACACAGCTTGCATGATTCACTCGCCCCAGCAAGGATAGCAGCCTTCCACCAGATGTAATGCGACGTCAGGACAACCCCACAAATCGGTGCACCTAAGCCGAACGTGAGTGACTGTCGAGGAAATGTAAACGGCACACGTGCCCACGAGTGATCCAATGCCTGTGAATACGTGTTCAAGACTCCGAGTGTCACCGAATAAAGACCCAGAGACTCACTAGATATTGCAAACGTTATCCCCATCCGTGCGCTTGAGCAGTGTCAGACAAAACCAAAGGCACATGGCAAGTGGTTACCCAATATGTGAGAATTCAGGAGTCAGATGTGATACCAACGGGCTCATCATTGCTATAACTGGAGTCGAAACTTGGTGAGTGTCAGAGGAGCATCATGAACCTACGCACGGCCTCCGGAAAAAACCCCATAGCTTACAGCTATAACAGCTACACTGGCAGCCGAGTGCAAGCCAATCATTGCAAATAGTACAGCGGAGGATATTAATGAAGAGACAATGGTCGTGTTCGGGATGCCCACGTATCCAGCGACAACACTCCCAGTAAGTCTTCCGACGAAAGAACCAGAATTAAGAATTGTGAGCTGTCAGCGTGATAAGCAGTTCTTGATTATTTGAGTAGTTTTTGATACGTACAGAATAAAACGAAAATCCTTGGCTCAGACCATGCAGGGTAGAATCTAACTGGAGATAAAAGGCTTCGAAGAAGTATCCGAATTCAAAAGCAGCCATCCTAAGCAGTGAATGCAACTTTGATGTTCATGTCATCGAGTATTGCAAAGCTTACGCACCCTACACAAGCACAAATGTAAGCACCATCTCTTGACGAGTTTTGCAGAACGCGGGTGTAGCTAACGATCTTTGGTTGCGGTGGAAGCCTTGTTCGCATCAGGAGATTTGCGATGAAAAGCAAGCCACTATTCAGGGCCGCACTTGCACGGACACCGTTTGCAAAGCCGAGTCTTCCATTGATAAGATTATTGAGCACGACGGGGTGCAAGATTGCACCCAGAGAGCTCCCCGTGGCGACAATTCCCATTGCAAAAGCCCTGCGTCGCTGGAAGTGATGCGATACTGCGGCGAAGGAGGGAACATTCGTAAGGCCTGTTGCAATACCCAAACCGATGCCTTGGGAAAGGAATATCTACACACATAGAAATACGGTCAGCAAAACTGCGCATTAACAGAAACGGGACTTGCTTGATAATACTGATCTGGTTTCGCCAGGGACAATATAAAGAGGAAGGAACATTGGAGGAGACAGCCGATTTTCATCACAGGGTAACTGAAAATGTGTGATCAGGGATGTCTTTATGGGGACTTCTTGCACACATACAATGCGCCTCGGTCAACCATCCTTCCTGATACGATGCCAACTGATAATGCCAAGAACGCATTAACACTTCCTATCCAGCTACACCGCAGTAGAGGTCAGAAACACTAACAGCCAAGAAACTACCCAGGCAGATCTAGAGCTCACTGACGCAATTGCAGATGGTGTGGAATTGGTTAGGTATGTTTGAGTATAAAAGTCTGCACATCGGATTGTCAGTCCGTCCACGTAAGATAATTCACATATATGCTTGCCCTGGAAGACACCATAAGCGTTGCCATATCTGGAACGTGTTATTAGCTTGGGGCCACAGATGCAAAGTCGAATTTACCCAAAGCCACAGAATTGGATCAACAAACTTAACGGTCGCAGTTAATGGTGAGTATGCAATGATCAATAGGTGGACAGAAGCACTTACGCGCCCAGTACTGTGCCCCAAGCGGTGAAACCACCTTCGGGAAAACTTAGCGCATCCGAGGGGTCGACAAGGCTGGTATTTCCAACGTTTTCGACGGATTTCGAGACGCTCTCGGGAGCTTGCTTTGCAATCTCATCACTGGATGAAGGTGTGGACATGGGCAATGAGGGTCAATTGAGCGATGGGTGGGGGATGCATAGTATCCTATAATAGAGTTTAAATATGAAGTTGACCCGGACCGACCATCCTGAAGGCTTGTATCAAAATAAACACACCCTGGAAATAGTTGTTGGGACTGACACTGACGCCCGGGATCCATTTAATCGACAACGACCTGCAAGTTGCTGTAGATTCTTAGTAGAGGCTCGTTTGAATCACTGGCAGATGTGCAAATATCGCTGTATCCTTTCTCCATAGCATAAGAGGAGAAATGTTATGGATTGATTCTGAGTTTAGGAATGTGCCAATGATGCTCCTGAACACGAATCGTAATTCCATCAGTGTATCACACGTACGTGGCACGTGCTAGACACGCCGACCAAGCTTGCCTATGGCACGTTAGCTCGTGAGAGGTGGACCAATGCAGCCTTTTACCTTGCGGAGCAAGGTCATAAGTTTCGGGGGGAGATAATCTGTCAGTCACCTGTCATGGCGTGCAATCACGCGAGACACAGTCAACGCAAATGGATCTAATAGAAACCCGTTAATATCAAAACACAGGATTAAATAAACTTTACAATTAAGTCATCAAACATATTCGAGGAAACAAGGACGGAAACCTTCCCATACACCATCATAACCTACTGTAAAGTTCCCACGAATGTCACGTCCTAGTCCGAATTGCCCTATTAAGATTGCCGGCAATAGCATTTGAGTGGTTGACAAACGACGATGGCCTGGCTACGACTCAGCTTGGGAGTTCATGCAAAATCATTGCCATCTGCGTTCCGGAACCAACTGATTGTTTTAAAGACGTACACGAGACTAGTACTCATAATGGACTTTCGTATTCCACATCAGCTCACCCTGCAGCCGCCCAATCTTTGCATGCATAAGGTCTAACGAGTCCATACCCACATACATGTTCACGAGGCCTGGAATGCCCTCCTGTACACCCTTTCGCAGGTGTTCATCGTTCATCCGTGTCACCGACCAAATGCGCTTTGTCACAACCTCAACGTCAGCCAACGCATCGCTTTTGATGAACGCATCAAGCCCAGAACGCATCTTCGTGGTTACAGCTGCTGGTTCTGATGCGTACACTGCTGGAGGCTCAAGCATATCACTTGATGAGATAGGCGTGCGCGTCCAACCTGGGTGGACATTCACGAACTGTATGGCCGCTCAACGGTGAGCGACTGTCATATCTTCCATTAAGTACTCACACGAATGTTCCAAGCAGGAAGCACTTCCTGTGCAAGGACTTCGGTGAACGAATCCAAGGCTAACGGTGGTGAGCAAAAGTTACACAATGTGCCATAAACAATATGACTAATTTACCTGCTTTCCTACGAACACCAAATGCATCAGCAATACTTGACCAGACAGCATCAACCCACTCACGTAGTGTTATAAAACCCGAGCAGAGGGACCCCGCTGATCGCTGCCACGCTCGATACTTGAACGAGCATCCCCCCATAACCCTTCGGGTTTTCCTCTCTAAAGAATCTAACCGCCTCAAGGCTTACCGCTGCCGCGCCCCAGAAATTGACATCCATTATAGCCCTGGAACGGGCCAAGTTGGTCGACGTCCCCTCCAACTCCTGGTAAAACACCTGCCCCGCGTTGTTATACACGACATCGATGTGCCCAAAGGCATTCTTGGCCTGTGCGAAGACATGTTTTATCTGCTCTTCGTTCGTCACGTCCAGGGGGAGTACTAGGAGCTGAGTGCGCGGATATTGGGCAGCGAGGTCGTCAAGGACGGAGGGTTTGCGCAGAGTTGCGACGACAATCTCACCATTACGCAGGACCTCTTCCGTCATCGCCCTACCGAACCCAGAAGAAGAACCGGTAACTGCGAGCAGTCAGTGACCCGCACGCTGAGGAGTTACATGTACCAACTCACTCAACCAAACTCGAGGAGCGGATTGTGCCATGATAAATCTATTAGAAATGAACTAAGGGGGAGTTTTAGTAAGACAGTCGGTGTGCAGAATAAACGTGAGACATACTTCAGCGTCTTAGAAGAACTGCTGAGGGGTAAATGACCCTAGACAACGAGATTATAAAGTACAGTAGCGGATGACAAAGAAGAAATGATATCATAGGTGCCGGTGATGCATCGATGATGTGGCATGCCCCTCACTTGAGGAGTAGTGCGAGACAAATATTGGATGGGGATTAAATATTAAATTTTTAGCAGGCAGTGTCTTTGTGAGTGGATTGTGAGCCTGTTTGGCAGAAAGGTCCACACGATATGATGAGCCACAGCAGAAGAAAATAGTAAAGAGTCAGGATGGACAGGATAACTGGCAGGACAACGGCGTATAATTCATTGGCACTTCACACTCTTCATTCATGCTAATAAGTAGCTACATGATATATATGCTGTACATCACGGATCGGTGTGGTAAGGTGGGGTGAATGCATCTGTGTGTTCGTATTTGTGGGGTGAGAGAATGTAGCAACGAAAGCAAGGAAAAAATGACTGCAAATCAATGTCAGTGGTATGTTAACCTACTGGTGGTGATCATCCTCTACTCGTTCCACGGAATCTACAATCTCGTTCACGAGTTCCATAGTCACACCTGGGATGATGCGCTCAGCCTCATTGAATGCCCGCTGTAGGGCGCTCAACGCGACTCGCGCTTCCTGTGTCGATACTCGAGGGAACAGCTGAACACGCTGATCAGCCCTGTCTCGATAGGAGTACGGAACACTTACCGAAGCTATTGCGGGTAATATGACAGAATCAAGCATAGTAGTATCAGGTAACTCATCGTCCTCTGGTTCATGCTGTTTCTCTTGAACAGACGCGCCTCTAGGATAAGTGTCCAAGTACTGGTCATCATAATCTTCATCAGAAGACTCCCGCTCGTGGCCAGTTTGTGTCTCGTTGCTGGGCCCTCCACTCGGCATGTGCCTCACGGTGGCTTGCTCATACACGCTTGGTGCTCGAGCGGGTGGTGCAGACGCCGACACCAGCGGAGGGGACGAAGGCAACGGCGGCAGCTCAGTCTTGGACCTTAACGATGACCCGGACGCCTTTTTCGCTGTGATCGAGGACGAAGATGACGCCTCACGAGAAGATCCATTCATCTCCCATGTTAGGGGGGGACCAGACACCTTGATCGAGTTTTGTGCACGCCCAATCGTCCCCGACCGTCCTGTGTGTCGAACAGTACCAAAGTCCCAGAGATCTTCTAGGTCAGCGTTTGCAGGCCTAGAGAAGATATATGAGAGGATATTGGAAAAGCTGGAGCGACCCACAATTCTTGATTGACAACTTGTTCCTCTTCCTCCACGCGATCCCCACCCTCGGCCTTCCATCGCTCATGCCTCTCGATTAGTTCTGTGAGGTAACTAGTCTTCTTTGCCATACGAACAAACTTGTGCTTTAACAGCTCGCGTGCCGTCGGGCGCTGTGATATATTTGTCCATTTCAGTTATGGTAACATGAAACGAACACGAGGAATGGAGATCAGACTAACGTCGCGGGGATCCCGTTGCAAACAATACGCAACAAAGTCCCGAAATGGCTTGGAGAAGTGACTGTCCAGCTGCGGTGGGGGGTTCTTGGGTATCAAGAATAGTACCTGTGTGACAAGGTGTAAGCAACATTTCAGAATCTGACAGCCGCCCAGTCCCGCTTACCTTCATCGGATGGAGCTCCGCATAGGGTGGCTCTCCCTTTGCTAGTTCAATTGCAGTTATACCCAAGCTCCATATATCTGCTTTATGGTCATAACCACTCTGCTTGATTACCTCAGGCGACATCCAGTATGGCGTGCCGACAAAAGTGTTCTTCTTGGCGGACAGTGTTCCAGAAAGCTGCCCGGACACGCCAAAATCGGCAAGCTTGACATCACCTCCTGCGGAAAGCAGTATGTTGGCAGCTGTGTGTGATATGACATAAGTGTCAGATGAATCAGGAGCGAGGTGAAATGACCTTTGATATCCCGATGAAGCTTGCCCTCTGTGTGCAAATAGTCAAGTCCGCGAAGAAGCTCTCGGACGATGATTGCGATATACTCTTCCCGAAATACGCCGGGTTTCATCTGCGCAATGTGAAATAAGCGCAAGTTACCAGAGTGAACTGCGATCATACCAGATCGGAACACGAGCCGCCCGAGCAGTATCTATATAGTATCCATGAGGCAATGAGAATGGAATGGAATCTAGGAACGTACTCCATGACTATCCAGAGATTCGAACCCTTGAGGAAGGATCCATGATATCTTGCGTGCAAAAACGCTGCATGTTAACCTCGTCGAATCCAGACAAGAGCAAGATGGTAAGGAAGGTACGAACTTGGTGACGTGTGGTGAGTCTAGCTGTGATAGAATCTGGATCTCTTGCTGAATGTCCTCTATCTCGTCTTCTGCGCTTTCGAGATCTATGATCTTGATGGCGACGGTCTTCTGAGTTCGTTTGTCGTACCTAGAAAACGCGTGAGGGGGACCGCTGAAAGGTTCGTATCGTCATAACACACCCTTTGTAGACTTCTCCAAAGGATCCCTTCCCTGGCGCAGATGGTCAGTTGGCTGTGGTGAGGAACAGGACCTGATACTCACCGATTCTGTCTTGTTTGACATACAACTCCTCCGGGTCTTGATTCCTAGTATCCTGGTAGTGTCTCATGAACTAACTCCTTACCGCTATCTCTCTCCTGCTCACCATCATTTATCGCATACGCACTGACTGGGAGTGAATGGTTAAATGGTTCTGGTATATCGAGTAGGTGTTGGACTGGTATCAAAGTTTGTTTGGTATAACTAGTGTCAGTTGCAGAGAGGGTGGGGGTTTCAAGTTGTTGATGTTGGTGGTTATCTGACGTCGGTGATAGTAAGCGCACTCAGATTGTCGATCTTCCCATCATGTGCATGAAGTCCGATCAGCAGGCAAACTATATAAGGACACTACAGAAGGAGAGCCCCACAGCAGTACAATATTTACAACAGACAATCAACAGTGTATCGAGTAAACAAGACATCGCATTTTTATAGATACTGATAGCACTCTGCATTTCGCCTACAAAATCTTCCGATGTTCCTGTACAAGCGAATGAGTGGTTGAAAATGATGGGATTAGATGTTACTTACAGGGGCATGAGTCGTCTCATGATCGACGTGCACAAAGGCACGCTCGACATTCGGAAGCACCTCGATCTTATCCTGCAGCTGCTGGCTAATATCGTGTGCCTTCCACAACGGGGTAGTAGCGTCCATGACGATATCCACCTCGACGATGTAGTCCTAGTTAAAACTGTCAGTGAACACAATACGTCAGTTAATCAGACCAATGGCACGCACAGGTCCGCTCTGCGTCATTGGATCAAGTCAATATGCAACCATACGCAATGGGATTGAACACTTACGTGGTACGCCCGTACAGTATCAACTTTCTCAATCTCATCGCTGAAGGTCATAGCTTTGTAGATGATGAGCTGCAGGAAGTGGTGTGGCGCAGACTTCCCAGCCAAGAATCCAAATTGTTCGTAGATAGTGTGACTCCAGGTAATGATGACTCCAGCGCCAATCTGTAGCGATCACATGAGCGGAAAGTTCATGGGGGGTACACGAATGAAGCGCACAATGATAGCGCCAGCAGGGTCCAGCCCTGTTTGATATGTAAGTTCACAAAAAATGCAAGGGTCGAGGTCACGAACACCATCGTAATCTACTTCCTCCAGCAGACATCAGAATACCTGGGGAGTATGATCGCTTCAGGGTACCGAATTGCTTGAAGCCGAGTCGTCTTACCGAATCCATTAATGAAAAGATCATTTCGATGATCCTCCCATAAGACCTGCACTTGGCTAGACTTTGATCTGAGGGCAAAACAATATAAGAAAAGGACGAATTTGACCGCTGTTTGATTTGAGATTTTATTAAATGTTTGCAAAGGGCTCCAGTACAGGCTACATACCAAGCGCAGCTGCCACTGCGATGATTGCCTGGATGTGAAAACCGTTGTCTTTTTCTTGAGCCATGAGTGCGCGAACGGATTCAACGATAACAACCAAATTGACCGAAGCCATGCTGCAAGAATGTCAATCAGGTTCAAGGACTTGATAGCTGGACGAACAGTGAACCTGAAAGAAAATGAGATGATTTCCCGCTGAGTGAACGAATGAATCACCATAGACTACATTTCCAATGGTTTCAAGTCGGGAGCCACCAACAGGCCATTTGTTAATATCCATTGACAGTGCTTTCTTGTGAGTCCAGTATAGAAAGATATTACTCCCAAAATCGAAAGTAGCATCAATCCCTGTTGCGATGAGGGATAAGGAGACGGACGACACAGCAGCGTATACTAGTGTGGAATAATTAGTGAAAGCAACATGGACATATTGCAAAGACGTACGCTGAAGTACACAGAGAATGAAGTTGGCACAAAGACTTGCCCAGACTGCAACTCTAACCTGAATGCGTGATTTATTTAGCAGAGATAAGCAGCCCCACAGCACTTCCTTACAGAAAAATGGAAATGCGCTTCATCTTCTCTCGCCTCTTGTGTATGTTCTTCCATAGGCTTCAGCAATGATTGAATGAGCTAATCATTTACCCTTCAGCACGAAATCGAAATGATACAATATAAGAGAAAAACTCACGTCATTCTGCTTTCTATGAAATTTCTCGAGTCGTTTACCAGTCCTACGACGACGACGAAGCTGTGAAAGCTCGTCGTCTGTCTTGAGACCGGCACGGATCCTGTATGGGTCGGGAAGATCGCTACCTTGAAGTCGGGGTGCCACCTCGACATCTTCGTTCCTCCTTGATACTTGTGCGTTGGAGTTCTACAACTAGGCTGTGAGTAGGGGGGACTCAAGGACACGTGCGCGTGAAATGGTCACCTCTGATGCTTGCCTTAGGCTCACTGAAGTTGAATTGGGATTAGACATCTTCAACAATTCAATAATTTGATAGTGTTCAGCGCTGCGAGATGTGAAAATGTGATGTTGCGAGTACCCTTGTCTACTCGGTCAATGAGAAACTGGTGTCAGACCAACGCTACACAAGGAGTAAGAGAATATGTACGAACCTGTTGTCGTAGGCGAGGTGAATGTGTGTAGGCGTCTGAGGGTCCAACGGACCACGATACTTATGTATTTATGGGCAGTGTCACTGGCGGCCACGATGAAGCCTTCCAAAGATCCGAAGGATATGCGGTGAGAAAAAAAAAGGGTTAGCTTATCAGATAACGGTTATCAGCTTATTTTTGGTTCCATTTTTCCCAAGTCGACGACTTGCTTGTTGACCTAATGGTAGAAACAGGTTACGATTCGTCATTGATGACCTTACTTTTCGTTCTTGCGATCCTCATGTGTGTTTATTCGAATTCTTCGTGTCTTTTACCTGCTCAAATTCTTGTTCAGATTCGCAGGTTTAGGATGGTGTTTCCTGTCGTCATGCATGGGAACACCCCTGCTTCGTTCTTTATCTGACCTATGGAACCTCATGGTTTTGTCTGGCTCAGTAACTGATACTGCCAGCTCGAGAAGACGGAGAGCACTTGGGGAGGATAATATATGGGAGATGACGGATTACAGAAGAGGACCGTGAAAACACCCTCACAGATTTACAGTTGCACTGCTGCGGCATGGAAAATACTATGGTCTTGGACTTGGAGGTGTCTTGGACCAGATCATTTACTATTTTTACCCATTTGCACCTCATGATCATGCATCATGACCGTGACGTGGACACGCACCTGGGCTGTGTTGCAGACCTATTCACAATCATAATGCAAGTGTCGTCAGCTCTGGGCAGGCACAAAATTCCCCGCGAAAGAACCGTGTCTGAGACATGTTGTACCTCACCTGTGCTCACGATTCGGGTTCGAGCCTGCGGTTTCGTCTGGAATTATTGCACGAACGTCGTCATCGACAGGTTTCACCATCTCTGTCAGCCACCGTTCTGCAAAGGTATAAAGACCCATACATGCCTCTGCAATCCTTACCCACATCTTTCCCTGCTTTTTGTCTATCACACCACTCTAGCGCTCCGTTTAACGACCTTTACGAACCTTTCTTTCTAAATATCCTTATAATGCGCTTCCTTTCCCTCTATATCGTCTTTATCTCGTTCTCACTCGCTCTCTTGCTTTCCGGGGGTGTCCAAGGCATACCAGTCAGTGTCTCCAATCCTAATGCACCACCACGTCATAGTGAGCTCCTTCCTGCGCATCGTTTACCAATATCCTCTGACCACTTTTCCCATATAGCGGAGGTGCATAGGCGCGACGGCCCAGACCTTATCTCTGCCGTGCTTGGCATCATATCGTCCCTTCTTGGCTCACTTAATCTTCCAGTGGAAGCAGTGCAACCAGTACAGGACGCGATTGGCCATGTACAGAATCTGACCGCTGGCCTGCCCCCCCTGTCAGCCTTACCAATTCCAGCTTTGCCAATTCCACGGAACGCAGTAGAAGCGGTCGGCGCCGACAGTTCTTTCTCTTCCTCGTCGACAGTTCAGGCAAACTCGATTGCCTCCCCTTCTCAGGCGTCAAACGCCGTCGCCTCTGCGTTGGGTGCTCATCAGCAGGCTGGTGTGCACACAGGTCCTGGACGCTACATTCATCGTCGTGATACAACCTTAGCATCTGCACCATTGTCTTCAGGCTCGGCGCATGCCTCATTGACCAGCGCTTCTGGTTCAGTGCGTGCCCCCCTAGCTAGCGCCTCGGGCAAGCCTGCTCTTGCCGTGGTTCCTCCTCTCCCAGTATTACTACCCATCCCAAACCCTTCTCTCCCGGTATCGGTGCCCGTCCCGATTCCTTCTCTCCCAGTATCGGTGCCTGTCCCGATTCCTTCTCTCCCAGTCTCGCCACCCATCTCCGTCCCGATTACCGCCGCATCCCCCGTGCCCCCCAAGACCTCTGGTACAACCAAAGGCAAGAGGACTCACAACAGGTAATAGCCTTCCATAACTGCATAGCTGGCCTCCGCTGTAGGGACTTCATCGTGTTGAGCGAATTGTGGGTCCGCTCCGTGTTGAAAGTTTACCTCGCGTTGTAGGCCGCTATGTTATTTGGTTGAGCCTCATGCCTATTATGTAATGATTGGCGCTTTGAGATTTGAAATTCATAAGCATTCCCAGTCAAGCCGCCGGAGTACTGAGTTACTGAGTGCTAAGTCCCGCCTTTTGAACGGACTCGTGAGTACGATGACGTTTCACCCTTAGATCTTCCAGCACGTATATACAAGGAATGTGTGCATTTCACCCTAAGGATGACAATAACAATAACAATAACAATAAGAATGAACGAGAGGTAGTGGGACATGCGCTATGCCATGGAGTATGAAAAGAACGTGTGGTGCTATACGTGAATAGGCGACAGCAAGGAGGGAAACATCGAAAGGATGGTGGGTAGTTGGTAAAGAAATGAACGTGGTAGCGGGCTATGCCATACAGTAGGAAAAGAGCGTGTAGTGCTATACGTGAATAGGCGACAGCAAGGAGCAAAGCAAGGAAAGGATGGTGGATAGTTGGTAAAGAAATGAACGAGAAGTGGTGTGTTATGCGAGGGAGAAGGAAAAGAATGTGTGGTGATTGGGAAGTTGCAAAAATCAGGATCTTCAGCGGCGTCTGTGGAAGACTCGGAGAGAGGAATTTCGGGATCTACAAAGTCGTCTATCTCATTAATGAGGCGTCAAACATCCGGGTCTTCGGCGGCGTCTGCGAGCATAGCCTCTGGCAGGCGAGAGGATGGAGGCTCAGTGATGGAAGGGAGGGGATCCACCAGGCCCTCCGTGTCATTAATCCACCTCCAAAAGGGAATGCATCCGCGGACCTCTGCGAGTGTAAGCTCTCGTACTTCAGATGGGGGAAGCACGGGTGTCACCAAAGGAGGTTCTTGCATCGCATTAGCCACCAAAGGATCGTGGACCTCGGTGTCTTGCCCTTCGAATGGAGGAAGTACGGGTGCCACCAAAGGAGAGTCCTGTGTGTCACTAGCTGCCCAGGAATAAGAGTTTGTGGTGTCTGTCGGGATGATCTCAGGTGGTGAGCTATGGGACGTCATCGTGGCAGTCGCGGATAAACGGGGCATGAATGACGCAGTAGCTAAAGCAGAAGTCAAAGTCGTGAAAGCTTGGGAAGCGGCTGCGTAGGATAGCCGACCATTAGCTGCTAGCTTTCCACACCTGTTGTCCCAATGCTTCTTGCACATATCACGTCGGGTATAACTAGTCACAACAATATCAATGATGAGACGCGCTTATTTGAGAGTAGGAGATACGTACGTTTCCAGACAACCAGGGCATGTGAATTCCGTTGGTTTGTGACCAAGATGTTTTTCTGTCTTGAGATGGCGTTTATAACTGCCAGGACGGACGAGCTGGCCATCCTTAGAACACACATATCTCCCATCGTGTTGACCATGTTGATCTAACATAGGTTCCTGTCCCAAGGGTCAAAATGCGACCTCACAAAATTAAAGAGAAAACTTACAAAGAGCGGGTCGTCCTTTATCCTGCCGGAGCCCATTTTAATTCGCTTGAGGTTACGGTCTTGGAGGTTTTTTGCGACGCGCTTCTCGCCGACGGACAAACTTGGTGCTTGAGGGAGAGATGGAGAAGCAGAGCCCGTTACCAGCCCGGCCCCGTGTTGCTGATGGAGGTATGATTGGTACGATGTGTGAGTTGCATAGGAGGTCGTGACTCCTGGAAAATGCCCCGACGGGAAGGGTCGATGGTACATGGGGGGTGCGGATGGGTGTTGTGGAGGAGAAGCGGCAGCAGTCAGCGGTGGGTATGGGCCAACATGAGTGGCATGCGAAACGTGGACCACCGCAGGAGGGAAATGACCATGTTGTCCCGCTTGGGGCGTGTGATGCACAACTCCAGCATGCGCGTATGGGGGAGGGACACCGTACGGGAAGCGGGGGGGTGCGGGGGCATGGCCTGGATGATGCATGTGTGCGGGATGGGGCCAGGGAAATTGACCCACATGCATGCCAGTGTTTGGGGTGTCCTGGTTTGCATTGGAAGAGTCGGAACCGTGCGATGAGGGATGCGAGGGAGATTGAGTCATCTAAAGGTAAGAAGCAGATATAGTTAGAAAATGTAGGCATCGAAGCTGGGAATACATGTACCTGAGCCAGCAGATAAACGTTTAAGACGTTATGAGAATGGGTATGCGGTCGCAGTGGCAGTAGGTGTAGCGTGTAAGGGATGGAGGATGATGGTCACCGAAGCAATATTTATATGGTCTTCGCGCGCCACTTTGAAAGTGTGTTTCCACTGTGAGGATGTCGCTTTCGGTGAACATTTACTGTGGACGACTATTATGCATTAGGTGGAAAAGTGGCCATTTTGCTCGATGCATCTACGCTTGAGTTGTCCACTTTTGTTGCGAGTCCGCGATGCAAAGACGAGAAGTACGTTGTGGTGCGCTGTGAATGTTTGTGCCTTCCTGGAGGGACCAATCCGATCGGAGAACCACAACTTATGTTTCTGGTTCCACGAACAGTTGAACAATCGTAGATCCAAGGCCAAATTACATGAGTGATAAGATCCAGCAGATCTCCGTAAGTTATGTCGGTGCTTGGGAGAAATGGCATACTCAGTGAACGGGCCAACAACAGAGACAAAGAACAAACCTATGTGAAGCGCAATGGACAATGCAAAACTTGATCTACACCTTTCGTGGACTCGTCTAATGAAGACACAGAACCAGCCGTAATTTTGCATCCCTATTTTCAAAACCACACAAGTTGGAGGAAATCGCCGTCTTGCAACATTGGTTGATCGATTCAAATGTGTCTTTGCCACCCTACTGAGAGCCTACAACCAATCGATTTTAGTGCCTGTATATGCAGTCATCAAGATTAACAAGGCAATGCTAAATGCAAGGAAAACCTGTCTGGCCCGGGAGGACGATTGATATGGTGAAGGATAGGCGAGCGAAAAAAAATCCTTATCGATGGCATTGACTTCAGGGAACATCAAAGAACTTCTTATCGTTGGGCAGTCGTCTCAGGCATTAATTTGCACCACTACGGCTCCCGAAACATAGCACAGAAGCGCCAGATATCCTGGCGCGCGAAGTCTGGATGAGATGAGGTGACAGCCTTCATATGAAATAGCTTGTCACAAAACTGCGTTGTTGGCGGGCAAAATGTGATATTCGAGGACGCGTAAGCGTTGGTAGTATGCGCAAATCGTATTCTGTAACGAAACATCAACCAAATAATACTTTCGCTTACGATCATTCGCTGTTCGCTGTAGAAGTTGAATAAGGGAGCGGACAGGAAAGGATAAGAGAGGAAAACCACCATGTCAGAGCAGAAGATACAGACCAAACGGAAGATACAAAATGTGTGCGGTTCGAATGCTTGTGTCGATGTTCCTTGCGGTGCGTATCAAAAATCACGTCAGTTTTGACGAGACCGTCATTGGGCCAGAGGCTTAGACTCGTATGTGTGAACTTGCCCGTGGTTTCGGGTATCATGACAGCAGTCTAAACATACTGTGAATGAATATTACATAAACGGTCCTCATCGTTGGATGGTGCAAAGTTCAAAACTTCAAACACCGGTGCGTGTGTACAAGAAAATTTAATTTGACTTTGTTCCGTTATGTACTACGTAATATATCTGATGAGGCTTGGATGAGGCTCTTGCAATTGTTCCCCGAGTTCACCTTAAACATTTTTACTGGGATGCTTTGAGCTCGGCGCATACATGTCACAGACACGCTCAAGCAAACGGCAGGCTTGGCTCTAGTGAGCTGTTGAGACAGCTCCTCGTCATTTCAAAGCAGGAGACCTTCAATCTTCAACTCATAGATTGTGATTCTACCGTAAAAATCAGAACTCTCCTCGAAAACGAGTTTCATGCTCTGAATTCCCTCCCCTGGCAATCCGTCACCGTTGGTTATCAAGTCGAAAGTTTGACGCCGGTTTGCATCCTCGGGGTGGATATATGTCCACGTCTGCCATTCGGGCCTATCTGACGACTCCGAGACATCGACTCTACATTTGGTTCCGACAAATCCGCCCTGGAAAATGATGATGATACGCTTGGGTATTGTTGGCTTTTGGAACGTTAGATGGATATACTGCGCAGGACCCTACCCATCTCCGAGGTCAATAATGTCTCCAACCAAGGGAACATTGTTGTACCTGTCGCGATGTCCAGCACGTTTCTGGGTTATTGTCCGTCAAGTGTTTCTTTCCCGTGGATTTTTCCAACGTGGAACTGACTCTGGTAGCCAAAACTGTGAGGACTGGATTGTTGCTCTGCGAAATAATCACTAACTTGACACCCTGTGGATTAGTTGATATCAACGATACATAGCTGTTATCCATCGTTGCTCTTCATGAGCAAACTGCTATGTTGTGATCCCTACAGAACTTTGAACAGAGTTGGCAGTTTATTCTCACGCACAGGAAGATATCAAATCTCTCCAAACCTTCGCCTTAGCTTTCATCTTTCTCAATGACTGCAACATCACTAGTGATACCTACTTGGCTTTCCAGAGCATTGGCAAATGATTCCCGCTTTATCTCCGAAACTGTTTGCATCACATTGTCTGAACGAGAATATGCTCGCGATCACTTACGGACCCAATCTCTCGTGGCAGAACCACATTCTACGTCGCTTCTTGCGCGTGGGCAGCAGGCATTCAATTCTGCACTGGGAAAGACCGATCCAGTCGCACACTACTCCATCATGATAGCCCATCATCCAGACAATATAGTCGCTAATCGGTATTCCAATATTCAACCATATGATCGGACGCGGGTTGTTGTGGGCGATCTGAAGGGCAGTCGCTGCAGCGTCGGAGCCGAGGGTAGCAAGGGAAGATATTTTAATGCAAGCTGGGTGCGGGAGCTGTATGGCGGAAAGTTATGGATTGCTACCCAAGCACCCCTTCCGCACACGGCACATGTGTTCCTCAGTGCCATCATGCAACCAAATTCTACTCCTCCAGCATCTCTCAATTCTCCTCATGTGCACTCTCCTAGTCGTGTTCGTACCATCGTTCAGCTCACACAAAATACGGAGAGAGGACGACAGAAAGCTCATATCTATTTCCCTTCCACCCCTGGACAATCAATGCTGTCGAACCCAGATCCAAGAAGCGATGCACCTGTACTGAAGGTGACGCTACTAGAGAGAAAGCGAATAAACGAAGCCTGCTGCGTGTACAGCAAAGTCTCCATCATTCCAGTCACCTCAACAAATCCGCAAGATGCTGTGGTATTCACCCATATGCTGTATGCTGCATGGCCGGACCATGGAGTTCCTGAGAATGAAGACCGAGCTAGTCTTCTCGCCTTTGCTCGTCTGGTGGATTGCGTTAACAAGGATGCCTCTTCATTCCCATCATCTCCGGAACCAGACCCAGATCCTCCTATCATGGTCAACTGCTCCGCTGGCATAGGGCGAACCGGATCATTCATTGCGATGTCGTCACTGTTACGCGCATACCACCTTTTGAGTGCTGGTAGCCCGCACCCGAACACCTTGACACCTCCCCCACAACCTCTGTGCCCTTTGCCTGTCCCTCCGCTGGGTACCCTACCAAAGGAGCTTCAGGAAGACCTGATAGCACAGGAGATTGACAGTTTACGAGAGCAAAGACCTGGGATGGTCCAGAGGGATGAACAAATTCATCTCATATATGACATCTTGAACCAGGCTTTTGAGAGGAGTCTAAGAGTTACTGTTTGATCATCCATTCATTCAGTACAACCTTCAATCGTTTACTCCACCACTACAGTACACGATGATACCAGTGATATCGGTTACGCTTATTAGTCTACTGCAAACCTGTAAATGTACTTGCCGCCGGATGTCGAATCCAGCCCCGAATCTATACCCACGGAGTTAATAGTTTATATGTTTTCTCTTCTATTCATTGTAACGTTATTCGAACTTTCATTCGGTTTGTGGGGCACCCACGGTGTCCATGTATGACCAGGATGTCGCAATTGCAGCCACTACGCTGACTAACTTGAGCTAGATAAGTTTAACTAGCCGATTTCCCACTCTTGCTCGCCAGTTCTCCACTGCAACCCCCAGAATGTCTTATCCGTCAACGATTCAAGCCATCACGATTTCAAAGACAGGGGGACCTGAGGTCATTGAGAAACGAGAGATCCCTTTCCCAAAAGTAGCCCCAGATCATCTGGTTGTAAAGGTAAAATTATTATCAAGTTCCTACGCGAGTGTTAACACTTAATCTGTGCTGCGCTGAGTAGGTTCAATATCTCGGTATCAACTTCATCGACACATACTACAGGCAAGTGTCCAAATGCCCCAAGCATCCCGAAGAGCATCGTTAAGTGTGCAACAGAGAAGGGATATACCCAGCATCTGGATTCCCATTCGTGATCGGGAAGGAAGCCAGCGGTGTAGTCGTCGCACTTCCTACAGATGAGTCCGTTTTGAACGACCCAGATTACAAGAAGTGTGGGTACAAACAAGGCTCCCGCGTTGCACTCGTACGCTATGCTCTTTATACACTTCTTGCAATAACTCACGAGCCTACAGGATTATTTGGGTTCGCATGCGGAATACGTTTCTGCACCTTGGAAAACGGTATACGTGATTCCTGAATCAGTGTCGACTTTGACGGCTGTCTCGGCTCTCGTGCAAGGTTTGACGGCTATTTCCTTCATGGAAGAAGCATACAACGTGCAAAAGGATGATGTCATCCTCATTCACACCGTGGCAGGTGGTCTTGGACTGCTCATGACCCAGCTGGCTAAGTCGCGAGGAGCGATTGTGATAGGGACGACCTCGACGCCAGAGAAGGCCTCCCTTGCGAAAGCTAACGGGGCTGACCATGTGATATTGTATAAGAACGAAGACACGGTTGCACGTGTCCTGGAACTTACAAATGGAGAGGGTGTCCATGCAATCTTTGATGGTGTAGGCAAAGACACGTAAGATTCGAACAGGTAGCTTCTCTTACTTGAGTCGAGTTGACTTTGGTGCAGGTTCGAGTCCGACCTCATAATGATCAAGCGGAAGGGCACCATTGTCTCAGTGGGTAATGCTTCGGGGCCCGTTCCACCGTTCCCTCCTATCAGGCTCCAGAAAAAGAATGCGAAGCTTCTTCGGCCTACGTGCGTTCAATCACTGCATCATTCAATTTTATGCTAACGATTAGGTATTATAGCATGAACAACTACACATACACCCCAGCAGAAGTGCTCTACTACGGAAATGCCCTATTCTCCCTTCTCGCCGACGGCACCTTAAAGACGCGGATCTTCAAGGAGTATCCATTCACTACGGAGGGGGTAAGACAGGCGCAAGTTGACCTGACAAGTGGCAAAACTACAGGAAAACTTGTAGTCAAAGTCAGTGATTAATGGGACGTTGTACGATGTTTCAGTCAAGAATGAAGTTATTCGTAACAGTGTAATGATACTAAGTTATGTATTGAAGGAGTGGATTTTGTGAATATTGTCCTCATACAAAGACCCGGTGGTTTCACCTGAACCGAAATCGAAAGTTCCATAGTATTCTCAACAGATTTAGCGGTCAGATTAGAGCCCAACGCATTATTAAGTTCGAGGAGTCGGAGGTAAACCTCAGGGACCCTAACCTTGGATATAATCTGAGCAATTCCAGTGATCGGGGATCTGCGGTAAAGGCAGAAAAACAATGCAAAACAAGTACTACAAATATACAAAAATTAAAGCTTGAAGCTCGCCTGTGATCAAGCTACGCATCCCACTGAATATTGAGGTTCCCAGGAGTCGAGGGTGGCCGGTCGTATCCACCAGTCGCAAACATGGTTGTGTCTGGCGGTAAACGACTGTCTTCGTTTGATCGTGCCCTGTCTCAATTGGACCGGTTATCGTCTCTCCGTTCTTCACCTCCCACTGCCTGTAGGCTATGATCTATCGAAGGATCGGCTCACCACTCGACCACCATCTCGACTGCAGCACAACAGCGCTCTTTTTGTATGTCCCGTCCATTTCGCGATGACTGTGCCTGTGTTGGTGTCCCACAACTTCTCACTCCACCTAATCCCAACCTACTTCCCAATCCTATTCGCTCGAAGCTCCCTACTGGTATGCCAGGGTGCAACTACATGTCAAAGTTAACCCCGAGCCCCCCGCTGCTATAAACTTCCTGATACCCATCGAGTCACCTTATTTCAGTTTTGTTTGTCAATGTTCAGTTTATGATCTTACTGTTGGCACGAGCTCTTACCGTCGAGCAGATAACGTCTTTAAAAAAAGCATGACTGTGTTGAAGTTCAGGTGCGTCAGCAGTAAGAATGCAGTTGAGAATGAATGGTTAACAAAAAGGGAATCAGCCCTTCAGTAGGCTGTACGCACGGTATTACCATCACAGGGACGAGTCCTGTGGAGAGGTGCCAAGGAAATTCGAAACCTGATTTCTCAGATACCTTCAAGTCCACGCCTATCAAATATAAAACCAACAATACGAGACCAATATAGGGAAAAATAAAGGTCACAACTCGATCGACAAGTCTGTTTTACGACCTTAGTGGTCATGGAAATAAGAAGACATATAATGCAAGGTCTCTAGTTGTGGATGGCGGTTGTTTTACCTAAGGCTATTTGGGACGACAATAGAAAGGCGTGTTGGTTGTAGACTTGTGGTTTTCCAGGTGTCAGATTTAAATAGGGACGCGACTGTTGGCAGAACGGTAGAATTATTTCCTCCTTCAAACCTCCACCTCCAACATCTCAACCTCCTTCGCGTTAACATGCAGACATGCAACTCAAACGTCGATTCACCACCGATCTCAGCTAGCATTGGGGAGCTGCAGCAACCTGTAAGTGCTTGGTCCTGGAGGTATTCGCATCTGGATATAATAATAAAATTTACCATCCAGTCTAACACTTCGTCCGGGGGGTCTTCATCGCGTATCCCGCGCCTGCCAGCAGAAATTCTCTCGGAAATTTTCCTCCACAGTCTGTCTGATGACTTGCCCTTTTTTCCCACACAAAGGCTAGCTCCCCTGATATTCACAAGAATATGTCGACAATGGAGGGAAGTTGCTCTTGGCTTGCCATGGTTATGGACCCAGCCACGGTTGATCGCGGATGATGGCTTCCGGGAGAGAGCTTCCGCCTACGACCTCTGGCTCAAGCGATCGAGAGGATGTCCTCTCTCGTTGAAACTTGAATGTTACACTGACTTGAGCGAGGCACGAAGCCTACTCCAGCCATACATCCAGCAAATCTCGTCTCTGGAGCTTACTTTTTGGTACTGCAGAGGCCCAACGTACACGGACTAGATGCATTCCCCCGCATACTCCGCCTATGTCCCAACCTCTCTTTCCTGATGCTGCACGGCATATTCCACCCGATCAAGAATCAAGAACCAATCACGCACACCAACCTCCAATGCTTACACATGTGTGGGGACATGTATCCGAACTCGAGCAGAAACCTTGGCCTATTCAAGGTTCTCACGCTCCCGAACCTTCGTGTGCTCCAAGCCGCACATATGGGGAGGTGGCCGCAAGAAGAGTTTCAAGCGTTTTTGACGAGGTCGAAATGTTCCCTGGAGCGCCTTGCTTTTTGCGGAGTGTCCTTGACAGATCGGCAGCAAGAAGAATATGCTGCTCTTGTTCCTCGCTTTGAAATAATAATGAAAGATTAGAGGCTACGTTGCTACTTGGACAGATAGTCGTTGGGTACCTATTTTACGAAGTGATGACATTGGTTTATACTTACTTATACCCTTACGAGCGATAGACACTATGTAGATACAAAGAGGACTTGAACCTTATTTTCAATCGAGAGTTATTTGTCGTCGAAAGGATGGCCCAGGGGAAAGGTGAGGGAAATTTCAGTACTTTCCACTCGACGTCATCGCTCTGAAGTTTAAACGCCTCGCTCATTGAAGTCAAGTTCCCGAAACAATTATGTAATGTTACATTATACAGAACTATAAGATTGGCGTGGTCTAGCGCTAATAACCAGTACCAACACCATTCAAGAAGATATCGCTACTGTAGTTGAAGACAGAACATCCGCGCAGGACAGTCTGATTGCAGGAGAAGCACCAGTTGTTAGTAGAGTTGATTGCGGTGTTCTAGATGAATGAATCTGTGAGCAAGAAGCCATACGTGCTGTAAAGAGAAACTCACAAAAAGTACTTGAACAAATTTGTCAAACGTGATGCTCGTGTTGCCGAACATCTCAAGTTGACGGAATTGGCTGTCCTCCGTACCATTCTTGAACTTCATGCTGACCTCGTACTGACCCTGCGAGTCCTGCGACAACTCGAGGGCAACAACAGAAGCATAGTTGGCTGTGAATTGGTATCAGTCTGCAGTGCTGAACCCATACACTGTTGATACTGACGGATACCACGAATGTCAGGGTCGGTCAGAGTAGCGTTGGTGACGTTAAATAGACTGATGAATGGTTTGTAATCGACTTCCTGGATATTCATCTTGACTTTGTTAGAAGTCTTTGTCATGTTACCCAAGGCCCAAAAGATCTCCGGGAGGAGTGTGCGAATGGCAACTGCAGCAAGGTTGGTGTAATGCATTTTTGTAATTGATCTAAACTTACCTTGTCCAATGCTACTTGAAGCAGAATCAGTGAAGACATTGCTTTGGGCCCAATCGGCATAATAGCGAGCTTGCTGGAGGAAGGTGGGAGGTAGGGTCTCATAATAGGTCTTATTATAGGTGTATTGGACATTGATATGGTCGTATATCTGCGAGACAATGAGCTCAGTCCGAAAAAAATCAAACAAACCCTTACATTCCACTACACAATTTTTTCAGAAAAGCTTTCACAGATGCGATGAAGTGACATACCATGTTCGTGAAGTTGTTACTGACGCCCCCCAAGTAAGGTTTTAATGCAGTCAGGAATGGCGCAGCAGTGGCAGACATGTTTAACCATGCAGACGAAGCGTAAGTTCGGTTTAGATGAGATTGGAAATACTAGGTTCTTGGGCGTTACGAAGTGACCTCCCGAAGATAAGATGGATTTCATACCTCGCAATCCATCCAGCTCGTGAGAGACGGACTCTGCCAATACTCCAAAGATTGCACTGCAGACCATTAGTTAGAGGACCAGCGAGTAGCCGTGACTGACTTGCCTGGAACATATTGGTATCCCCCAAGAGGAGAGAGAACCGTTGTACCATTCGCTAAAGTTATCTCTGACTCTTGTGTGGATGGGTAAAGACCCTGAAGCAGAGCATATGCGGAGTTGAGGATAACATTTCCTCCACCAGCGTCTGCGCGGACTGCCAGCTGATTGATGTCTGCGACGTCAGTGCTGATATTCTGGATGAAAGATGGTGAATCGGGATTGAGATATATGTTGCGAAGGAAGCTCCCGAGTTCGAATTCTTGTTGCTAAACATTCGTGAGCAAGACCCAGTATTATAGCACAGAGCTCTCACCTCTCCAAGAGGAGTGATGTATGCTTGGGTGGAGTTGTATGTAGCTGGGTCTTGGTAGTATGCCGTCCTGTCACCGTGGCGGGCCAAAAGAACTACACCGATGAGTCCCGCTGCGGTAGTAGTGTTGACCATGGCTGGAATTGTGGGAGTTGTAGCGATCAGGGCTTTAGCTTCATCGTTGTCTACTGGCACTTTATAGCACGTTAACGTGCATAGCAGTTTAGCCCATCTTCAGACTAGCGTTATTTGAGCTGAGTGCCGTAGACAAGATGAATACCGCCATGCTTAGTACAAATTTTGTAGCTGGTATTGATGAAGTCAATGGCAGGAATAAGTGCTTCAAGCGCTAAAAATATACCGCTGGTTACCGTACTAGGACCGCCACTAGTGCGCACAACGAGAGTCAAGTTCGAGCATCGCAAACTCATGAACACCGCCCAGCTGCGGCATACGGCAACATGACGCGTGACGGACGAACGCTAATGCTATTCAGGTTGCCACCGAGTTCCGTCGGTTTCAAGAGCTTTTTTTGTACAAAGACAGACTAGCAGGGGGGCGAAGCAATCGAGATACATTTCCGCATTACAGTGGGAGGTCGTTTAGATGCTGCAACCATGGGCCGAGGACGACGTGATGAAGGAGTTCGAGAAGGTCGTAACGCAATGTTTTGGCAGTAACTAGTACAGAATCGATAATGGCGTGGATATGCCTGAGATAAATGCTGTTCTCGACGCAAGCTGCGTTGCCAGGCAATAAAGCCACGTATTTTTGCTATACAGGATGTATTTCGCATACCAACTAATCCATAAAAATCACAGGTTGTAGTTAGCATAAATCGATGAAGAGAACGATTTGAAAGCTTGATGACGGTAGACAAATCGGCACCGAGCCGTCGGCTTATATATATCGCACTAGCTCGAGCTAAGAGCGGTGAAATTGAGATACCCCGGGGACAGGTTTGGAGTTAGTCTACAAAACCAGAAACGCAACCAAACGCCCTTCTAATTGCAACTGGATACATCGACATGACAGTATGTCTGAGGTCCTCACATTGTTGCTTGCTGTAAAAAACACTCTTTGTGACCTGCGATGGACACAATGGACAATTGGGATATCTGAAGCGCTTTGGGAAATAGCGACCACACTGACGGGAGAAAAACGCATGCGACGAGCAACAATTACAGCAAAGAGGTACCAGGGGAACAAGTTCGAATCAGTTAAAAGCAGAAACAAAAACCGATAGCTTCTGTAGAGGAAGGAGAAGGAGAAACACATTCCTCGCATAAGAATTCAGCATAAGTGAGGGAGGACAACGCATACTATGAGTAATGATTAGAGTAACAAGATATCCGATCGAATTCAGCTATAAGCAGAAACACAACCGGCTTCTTCCATGCTGTCCGGAGTTGACAGTCCCTGGGCGTGAGCCGGCATTAGGAGGAGGAACATAGTCTTCATCACGTATAAGGTCATCTTCAGGGCCGGGAGCACCCGCTGCAGCGTACCGCTATACATGAATGCATGAGATTTTGAATACGTCGAGAAAAACGAGATGCGCGTACCAGTCTACCAGGCGCGAGAGGAACATCGACGATAGTGGGTGATGCATGAGTTGATAGTCGATGTAGGCGGGATTTGAGATTTGAGGAAGTACTGATGGCAGAGGATTGGGTGGTGCGTGGTACTGGCGTGTGTCGAGCCTTAAAGAATCTAAGTTTGATATGTAATTATGGCGGTCCGCACTCACATTATCGCCATGTTTTGGAAGTGCACGAGGTAGGGGGAATGTAGCAGGAAACTGTAAGGAACCCGTCAACTCAACTGCAAAGCAAACAGACACAAGAAACACACATCCAGGGGATTAGGAGGCTCGTCAGTGCAAACCGCATCTGTACGAGAAGAAGAAAAAAGTTTGCGTAGAAAGCGGAGGTGAGCATGTGGGTCCCTGGTAGGCAAAGGTCGAGGGATAGGACACATGGCAGGTATTATCACCGGTTTACGACGCGCGGGACGAGGTGTTGCATCGGACTATAACGAATAACAGTGTGGTGTAGATGAAGGAAAGGGCAGGACCACATACGTTAAGTAAACCAGCATGGCGTGAACGCTCAAATTTACTGTTCTGTAAGAATATTAGCATATACATGATGGATGTATACCGGGAGTACATACACTAGACTGCAGTTCTTGAAGCCCAATGCTAGCAAGAATATTTGCTGGAATGTTACATACGTAAATTTTGGAGTCATCGAAGGTCGTGTGAGCTAGTTGGCGTGAATCAGGGGAGAGGACGACGGTCATGGGAGATCCCGAGACGTCGAATGAAGCAAGGAGTTGGCGGGACTCAAAGGCCCACAGCTTGATGGAGCGGTAGGAAGAGCTGGCGAGAAGAATACAATCAGATGAGAGTACTAGACCATAGATGCCATCAGTGTGTTTGAAAGGAACTCCAACAGTCTTGAGCGTCGATGCGTCCAACTCATAGATCGTCCGGATGAGGGCATCATCCGTGAAGCTGAATGCGGCTACAATGGATTTGTCTTTTGTTGTCCAGAAGACCGGTGAAACAAACCCAGAATGTGTGCCAGGACTAGACTTTTGTACAAGCAATTTCTGTGCCTCAACATCCCACACCTGAAGATGCCCCGAATTTAGAGACACTGCCAGCTTCCGAGAGTCTTGCGAGAGTCGAAGTGCTATTGGGCTAGGATCACCCTTGTTAGTAAATTGAAATGGACCAACCACGAGTTCGCCTGTGTCCAAGCTCCATATCCGTGTCCCATCGTATGACCCACCCGCTACCAAGGTGCTGTCCGTGGAGATATCGAAGCAAGTGATCCACCCAATGTGAAATGTTCTCACGATCCCCGTCTCAACCTCACTGACTTTGAGTCCGAGGCTATAGCCAGCAGTAACAATCCATCGACCATCCTTTGATACCCTCACTCCATATATCCTATTTTTGTAAACCTCCCGAGCCTCCTCAATCTCCTTGCCCTCTCGCAAGTCCCATCGCCGAATCGTCTTATCGTCTGATCCGCTGATCATTTGCTTGCCGTCGGGGAAATAGTAAATGTACGAAATATATTTGTGGTGATGTTCACCACCCGGATAGCGAATTTTCCATGACTCATGTCCCTCCAAAGTTATGACCGGTGTCAATTTGTTTTCTGCTGCACCGAGCTGTGCCGAGCTGGAAGCCATCACAACTGTATTCACCACACAGGTTGGCAAGTATGTCGGTTAATGGATATATTCGGTGAGTTCTCGTGGCTCTGTAAGGCTAGGCTTGACGTTGGGTCAATTTAAACTTTGGCGGCCCATTCGCTCGAGAGCTGCTGCACTTTGCTGCTCAAATCAATAGTCAGTTCCTCCGTGCGTGATGCTTACATGGGATTTGGTCCTACCAGGATGCTAGGAAGGACGAAGGGCACAGGTATGAGCGCGTCTCATTCCTAAGTATATATTTACTCTTCTTCATGATGGCTGTGCATTGTACAGCATGTCCTTTTAAAGTTCACGGTAAGAGTATTCTACCTTTTGGTATAACGGTTATGCGCGTGCGGCAGTCTGACCTACTTACATTCACCCCGGGCCTGAGTACGAGTGCCTGAGTTCGTCGAGCCTACCTCTCCCTTTCCGGTTCGTCCATAACATTTCTAGTTGCTGACGAATATTTTGTACACCACCGAGTGCCAGCCGCATGCACAACTCCGATATTATCCGTATCATGTCATGAACCGCGCCGCCACATCTTTGCGAATAGTAGCAGGCGTTGGGGTGGATGCTATTTCCCCTGCGTTCCTCATTTCGTACGAGTTCTCACTATTCAAACTCCAGAGCCTTTCAACCCCCGTGGAGCACCTGCTCCAACATTGTCTCAAGTGTTCACATCTCTTCAAATGAACGCATGCAACCCACGGCCGAATTCGAGCCACTTTCGATGGATCCAGGCCGAACATCGAGTCATGAAACGAACCAACCTCCAATATTATAAGATACGAGCTCGTATCACTTCTTGCGCCACAGCTTTGTGCAAATCGGGTAAAATGACAGTATGTTGAATCTTCATGCTTGTCGAGTTCAAGTCCTGTGCTACGGACTCAGAGATATATGCCACAAAGCGGCCCATCCCACCTACCCACTCGTTAGATCTTGCAGTCAGTGCGTGTATGCAAGGAATGTGTGTATTACGACCAATGAATCATCAAATCACTATGATGATGATAACAATAATGATAAGGATAATAGCGATCACGATTGTATGAATGAACGAAGAATATAATGGAAGTGTGTAGTTGGTAGAACATGGATGAATGACAACAGATAATACAACAAGAAAATATTCAGCAGCAGAGTATAAATATAGCTACGTCTCCTAGATGTCCTTTATCTCATTACCCTCCCAAAACTCAGCGTCGTCGTCGTCGTCGTCGTCATCTTCTTCTTCTTCGGGTTCTGCGATCATGCTAGTCCGTGATGATTGAGAGAGGCAAAGAACAGGATCCACGACAGTGGGCGTTCCACACGACTGCGTAATATAAGTTGCTGGGGGTGCAATCTGCATATTCTGGGACATCGACGTGGCGAGCATGGGGTATGGGTAAGAACACGTGAACGCCATGGTAGGTGTCACAGGCGCAGCAGAAGCAGAACTCGTGGAGTTCTCACTAGTTGAGTATTCTGAAGAAGCGTCCACGGCTGTCGACTGCTCGCACTTGCCATTGACGAAATGTCTCTTGTAAGCATCGCGTCTCGTATACCTAATCACAACGATATTAATTATGAGACGCGTTGATTTTAAAAGTTGAAAAACTCACGTTTTGGAGCAATGATGGCATTTAAATTTCTCTAGTTTGAAGCCTAGGTGCTTTTTTGTCCTGATGTGCCTCAGATAGCTCTCAGGATTGAGTATCATGCCGTCCCTAGAACACACGAATGTCCCTTTGGGCTGACCAAGTTCATCTAACACAGGCGTCTGTCCCGATGTTTGAGAATCCGACCTCACAAGATGAAAAGAAAACTTACAAATAACGGGTCGTTCTTCATCCCGCCGGGGACTATTTTGCTTTGTTTGATGTGGCGGTCTAGGTCTTCCGCAATGCATTTTTGACTGACCGAAAAACTTGGTGCTTGAGGGAGAGACGAGGAAACAAAGCCCGTCGCAAGTCCAGGCCCGTGATGCTGGTGGAAGTATCCTTGGTGCGGTATGGGTGCAGCGTAAGGGTTTGTGCCTCCTGAAAAAGAAATCGATGGGAAGGGTTGGTGGTACAGGGGTGGCGCGGATAGGTCTTGTGAGGGAGCAGCAGCAGTCAGTGGTGGGTATGGACCAACATGAGTGGCATACGAGACATTGGCTAGTACAGGGGGTTGGTAACTGTTTTGTGCCGCTTGAGACACGTGATGCGCCACTCCAACACCCGCACCAGGCGAAGGTGCGACAGGCACGTATGGGGGAGGGACGCTATGCGCCCCGTTAGCTGGCATACCGTACGGGTAGTAGACACCTGAATTAGGAATGCATGCAGGCTGGGGCCAGGGAAATTGACCCATATACACGCTGGTGTTTGGCATGTATTGGGTTACATTGGAAGAATCGGAACCGTTCGATGAGAAGACGTGGGGGGTGTATTGGGTCATCTAGAGGTTATATATAATTAGGAAGCGTAGGTGTTGAAGCTGGAGATACACGTACCTGGGCCAGCAGATAGTCGATTCAAATGTGAAGTGGATGTGTACGCGTTCGCAGTGGCAGTAGGTGCAGTGGGTTAGGGATAGAGGATGGAGGCCACCGAAGCAATATTTATATGCTCACCCAGAGCCGCTTTGAAGGTGTCCTCGAGGTATGTTTCCACTGCAGGGGCCTTCCTTTCAGAGAACATTTCCTGTGGACCACCATAATTTACTAAATGGGATTATGGTCCTTTGGACCGACGCACTCAGCTTTGCATCCACGCTTGAGTTGTTCATTTCTGCTGTAAGTCCGCAAAGCAAAGACGAGAAGCGGGTTGTGGATGCGCTGTGGAGTTTGTGCCCTCCTGGGGCCGACAATCCGATCAAAGCACCACAGCCTATGTTTCTGGCACTGCGAATAGTGGAATAATCGTAGATAAGAGGATAATTTGCATGAGTGATGAGATCGACCAGATGTCCATGAATCATGTCGATGCTTTGGGAGAGGTAGCTTACTCGGCGAACTGGTCAACAACAGAACGAACCTATGCAAGGTGCAATGCATGATGCAAAAATTGATGGTACACCATTCGTATCACCTTGTAAACGCATGATTTAGAGACAGTTCACCAGCATCTGATTCGAGAGGACTCAACCACGAAGCGACATGGATAAGAATATTCTCATTAATTTTCCTTATGAGTACTCACACTGATATTTGGTTTCCTGATTACATCGCAATATCCTGTCATAGATTGTGGCAGAACGTGACTCCTCTCATCAAGACACAGAGTTGACCGTAATTGTACTTTCCTGTTTTCGAAACTACAAAAGTTGAAGTCTTGCAAAACATTGGTCGATTGACGCAAATGTGTATTTGCCACCTTACTGAGAGCCTACAACTGATCGCTCTTTAGTGCCTGTATGAAAAGTAACAAGACAATACCAATCGCAAGGAACATCTTTCTGGTCCGGAAGGATATGGTGATGGCAAGGGAACTCAGACTCCTTCATCGTTTAACAGTCGCCTCTGGCATTCTTTTGCACCGTTGCGGCTCGAGACACAGCGCAGAAGTGACACCCGCATGTCCTGGTGCAGCCTGAGTCCGGAAGTGGATCAGATGGAGCGACAGTATGTGCAGGGAATAACTGGTTACAAAATGCGTGGTCTTGGTGGGCAGAATGTAATACCTGAAAACAAGGAGGTATTTTTTGAAATTTGCGATGTACACCAAACGCATTGGTGTAGACTTTCAAAGTGCGGCCGAACGTCGACCAGGTAATATTGCGGTCATGATCATTTTCGGTCCCACTTCGAAGGGTTTTCATTACTGATGTTTCAACCATGGGTAAGAATCATTTATCACTTGATTTTCGTGACCTTGCCGTTCTTCGCCAGTACCGGTGAGCCTTAGTATACAGCTTGCGGTGGCGCGCTGCGTGTCGAAAATCTTCTGCGTCATTTTGAAGGGGTCTCTACGGGGCAATACTCGCATGAACTTTGTAATGATTGTGGATATGATGACAGAGGTATGAACACCCATCAGAATAGATTCTGAACAGTCGTTGTGGATGCAGCAAAATTTGGTGCGCGTGTATGTCAATAGATGTCAATGGAGGAGAAAGGAAAACTGTTTTGGGTTTAGTTAGCATCCGAATTCCGATAGGCTCCGAGCTTTTCGTTAACGTTCAGAGTTCAAGCTTTCAAGCTTAAGGGTTATTCGCCTTGCGTTTGCACATTACTCGGCCAGACCTACACAGAACTGTTCAAGAAGCGAAGCTACAGTCGTTTGCATAATGGTTTAGACAATCAAACTACACTACTGATATGTTTGGTCATGTTTTCAGTACAAACATGTGATATGTGACACGCTACGAACCGCCATGTTCTGGATTCTTCAAGCTGTTGTCACCGAATGAAGGACCACAATTCCATCAATAGGTACGTGCATTTCATGATGCCAGACGATAACACGTTCTCGCAGCTGCATAGACGTTGCTGCAGAGATCGTCGAGGATGTGAAATGGTGAACCAGTGTCACAGTGTCACACTTTGGTCCTGCTAAACAGAAGCAAATACGGTATGAAATCACTTTGGTGGTCTAAACCATTTGAATTTGAATTTTTTATATTTGGCCATCTACGCTCACAATGCACATAACCATTAAGTACTGTGGGTCACGTGTCACTGTGGACAAGTTGTTTTAGGAAAGTGTTGTAGTTCGCGTAATTTTTACCGCGACCTCTTCGAGTCTGCACTTTCTGCAGCTGCAATCTAACCCTTGTATTTCAATTGAGCCGTCGCCATGGCCATAATTTCTAATACAACAGCCAACATCTCCGTTGAGAGTCTCGCGACCATGAAAACAAGACCAATAGACTAGTAAATATCACTCGTGGCACCCCAAGGCGTTCTGTTTATTTTCCCAATCATGTATGGCCAGTTCTCTCTGATTTCTCGTCTCATCTCTCCGGCCTTCTCTTGGTCTCACTCTTGCGCCAATGAACGAAGCAGAACAGGAACAGGAACGTGGGGTGTGCGAGTCCACCAAGATTTCAATGGTCTTCCAAGTTTGAGTATGCTTTCTGACGACATATTGGTCGATCATATATTCGAATACCTGATGGTGGAAGATATCCTGTGCCTACGAATGGTAACGTCTACCTTGCATCTACCTGCTGTCACTAGACTCGTTTCAGGTCAACAGACTGTTCTACAACCTTACACACCATGGTATAATATGGAAACGGTTTCTGCGGAGGATTGGACCCAATGTACCAGCGTTACCGCCTTCGCAGCATTATTCTCCTAATTTCTTGACCTCGTTTGAGGCTGAACGATTAGTCATTCGCGCGATTACGGTCCACAAGAACTGGATCCTGCCAAATCCGCCTGCCACCTCCTATCTCCCTGTGCAGGCACATAGGCACATATTATCAATGGTCGTACTTCCCGGCGGAAAATACCTTGTCGCTTCTGCATGCAATCTTGCCAAAACTCACTACAGCTTGGTTGTATATGTTCTTGATCACCGTATCTGTGGCATTGTTCCTCTAGCAGAAACACCTGTCCGAGGGAAAGCGTATAATATATGTGCCAAGTACATGAACGTGGAAGGCACGCCAAGCATTGTTATCGGATATATTCGCAGGAAGACGTTGAAAAGTCATCAAAGTCCTAACAGGTAGAAACTGATTGTGCCTCCGAGTGTACCTTCCAACACTGACTGTCGGCTCAGTATTGATCCCTCCATATACAATCCGTACCTGAACAACCCACGGTGTCAAATCGACGCTCCAATGCCGCTGGAATACGTCGCGACGTGTTTACAGATATCCCTTGATGCACTAGATGCGTTAGGAAATCCTATCCTCGTGCCTGGCTCTCAAGAGTTTTTCGACTTTGCTGCATCACAACCCCCGCCATTTCGCTTCCTCGGACACCTTCGCAGCGATTCAGAGCTTCGAAATGTTGATCTTGGCGAAGTCGATGGCGTTCCGAACATGGTAGTCGCCAGGATGCCCGAAACCATTGTAATGAAGGAACTAACTTTTGATGGTGCCATATCTACTTTTAAATGCGCGCGCGAAATCACGCTTTCACAACAGGTATAGTGCTTTTTTTGCCGTGAAGATTACTCTAAAGTTCTCAAAGGAGCAACCTATTTGTAACTTCCGGTTATTGCCTTTACAAGGGCAAATTCTCGTCGTGCGCTCCACGAATCGTCCCCGATTAGCACCATCCAATCCCTCGCCTGGTGGTCCACCTATCATTCCTGATGTTATGTTCACTGTCGCCATGTTTCCCACGCCAGACCCTGGGGATACAGAAGCAGGAGAGTTTAACCCGCTTTCAATTGCCTCCTTTCACGGGAAAGATATTGAAGATTTTCAAATAAGTGACCCACATGTGCCCAATGACCAAGGTCGAAATTTCTTGCCGCCTCCTATCAATATCTTCTACAGGAATGAAAGCGGGGGTCGTATCTGCCACATGATCATTTCGCCAACCCCACGAGAGAGCGCGCCCGAGGCGTTTAGATCTACAGGAAAACCACATTACGCTATCACGAACCTGAGGTCCAACATGATGCACCGCCTATCCTTCAAAAATGACGAATCTAGAACAGTATGCAGAACATTCGTCATCCCAGGGTGTCTGCGCTCTTTATTCTACTCCATTCCACGCGATAATCGATCAGACACGCTTTCGGTCCGCAACTTCTCCGGCCATCTTCTATCAAAACGAGGCGATGATGCCTATAGTATTATGCGGCGCGAAACGCTGCAAAATATTCTCCGAAATGTTCCCAAGCACCGCGAGAATATGCTGGGACAGTTTAATCTGCCTTCATATATCCTCGATCATATTCGTGATGGTGTGACAGCGATAGCCTGGGACGAGGGCACTGGGCGTATCTTTTATTCCAAGCCACACGAGACGATGCTGCACATACTTGATATGGCACAAACGCCATTGGAAAGTGAGTTGAAATTCGGGTGCTAAATTGGTCATACACTTAAAAGTTATTTTGTAGCGATAAGTGGGCAGCGTCATCCAATCCCTTTGGAGGATGAGCGCATGCTCGATTTGTGAATCACGCCACCCAATGGACACTTTGGACTCGATCGCATGAACTATGCTCATTACTTCTTGCATCGTAAAATTGACAGATTGTATACTAGTATACCCAGTCCGCGATAACTTCATTTGTTTGTATCTGGTCATTATTCTAATGTACAACATAAAATGGATACAGACGCAACGAGGTAGAGATGTACGAGCTATGATGGGACAGTAGGATAAGCGCAATAGAGGAACTCTCCACTTTGCGGAATAAAAACTGTATGCGATTGTAATTAGAATAGATGACTGAAACCTTTCCATGAGGCAACTGCTCAAGCAAGAAAATGGTAATCAAGATCATTAAACAAGATATAGGTAAACACATCTTTACCATATAATACAATTCTAGCGTGCGTCAGGCTCTGGACGAGGGAGAAGAGGAGTAGGTGATCGAATTACCGGACCGGGACACTCATTCATGCTCTTTCCTTCTAGCGCTGCTTATCCTTGCGGCCAAACTGGAATGATGCGGTGAAGCTCAACTTCCGACTCGCCCGCTTCATAGCACTAGTGGTATTAGTGGAAGCGCTAGATGGTGAAACTGCCTCCAGGGCGGTAGATGCACGTGTTGACTTTGGCCGTTTAGGCAAGCCCGTCGCACCTTCCTCGTACAGCTTACTTTTCGCCTGCGTCTCGCCCTTGTCCGAACGAGGTAGTGTCATGGGCAATGTCCCGTTGGGTAGACCACCTACAGCACCTGGCAATGGAGGAAGATTATGGTCCCGAAGTATAGTTGTAGAGGAGCGTGAACCAAGCGTAGCACCTGCAGTCGTCGGCCGAGCTGGGGATTTAGGTGATCTTGGTGGCTCCAAGTCATGAGGTGACGCCGTTGGCCGTTTGTGCGGTCGTGTGTACTCAGATGAGTGGCCTCGAGGATAAACTGAAGGAGGGGATTGTGCTATACTTGAGTTTTGCAGAGGAGTAGGTATCATTGGCAAGGGGCGAGTGGTGTGTGGGTGATGGTCAGGAGATGTCGATGACGAAGTGCTTGTAGTGTGTGAAGAATATGATGTAGTGGCTGAGATGGAAGGCGAGCTCGAAGCATCTCGTCGACTGCTCGTACTATGCGATGATGCCCGAACAGGGCCGGAAGCAGACGAAGGGCGGCGATGAACCATAAAAGGCGCTACAGGACGATCAAGACCTGCCGACTCCGACAGATGTCCAGAATCATTATCCTTGGAATGCCTCGATGTCAACCCAGTAGTGTGGAACCTCGATGGAGATGACGACGTATCCAAGGGCACGACAGGAGGCAATGGCATATTATTTGGCTCAGCTTCCGAGGTTGGACGTGCTTTCCCTCCCGATCTAAGGCTTTTCCTTCGGAACCAGTAGGTGCTCTTCTTCTCTGTTTCCTTTTCCTTGCCATTCGGACTCCGTAGAGCAGGGTCAGGCAGAACAGGTGGCAGCGGATCTGATGGCTCGGACCTGGGGAAGGGAGCAGTGGATTTTGCAGCCGTGTCACGCTTGTCTAAACCAATCTTTAGTGAGGGGACATGTTTGAGTATGCCATTACGAGCGGGCGAGGATGGCTTCAGTGACGAGCCACGACCGACTGTTGCATGATACGGAGGTACTGGGGGAGGGCTAGGTTTCATAAATTCCGAGGGGATTTTCCGCAATGGTCTCTCAGTAGGAGAAACGGGAATATTCATGGGTAAAGATGGTGGGGGTAGTATAGGCGCAGTCTCAGCATTTTCTGCCTCTGCAGGTTCTGCAGACAACCCGGGAGGCAATGGTATAGGTTCTGAAAGCGATGCAGGAGAATCTGTAGGGAGTCGTTGATGTAAATGTTCCTCAGGAACATGTGGACTTGTCGGACACAAATCAAGAGCGACAAGGTCTAGATCCACAGCTTGGTAGTAGAGCACATAGGCGGAACCCGAATTGGATTCGCCGAAGTACTTGGGTATGTCGGATTCTTTGATCGACTCCACCGTTTCATCGTCAAATACAAGCCAGGAACCCAACGTCTTGATGATGCTGACATAGTGACCATGGTTTGGCCCGCTATATTTACCAAGGGACAAACGAGGGAAGAAAAGCGTGTCAGCGGCGATTACAGACAACGAGCGTCACACGCAACAAGGGACGTACTTTCCGATGTGAACTACTATGGCGAAGAGTTCATACAGTCGATCAGGGTTCTCAGCATCATCAACAGTGTTGAACAAGCGGAGCTCGAAGGGAAATGCAACGCGATAAGCCAGCTTGATGTACTTTTGTACATCTTCTTGATACTTGAAGCGCTTGAGATGTAGAGCGAGAACATTGGGCAGTCGCTTTATCTTCATCCTGACGTGGGCCTCAGTATTAAATCTAGATGAACAACCGATAAATACCTCTTTTCCGCTTCCTGGAGGTCGCAACATCCGTCGCAGAAAAACTTGTTTCGCTGGCAGAGCATTTCACTAGCGCTGAATTGTCGAAGACATGCTGTCACGCTCGAGTTCTGTTCGATATCTATGGAGAGGTCCAAAAACGATTCGTCACGTGAAGATACCTGTGCGCGATCAGTAAGCGCGGCGGTACGAATCACGACAACGCACATTCTCGCATGTTAAACATCGAGTTTCGCTAGTCAGTGTACCTTCGAATATCTGGTGAATAAATGTAGACCCCGTCGACGGATTGCCTGAGCTCGACGTGCTTGCTGTCATTACCAACGGTTGCGAGGTTGTAGATGATGATTTGACTGAATGATCCGCTAGAAAATAGAGCAACATTTGGGGTGTCAGTGGAAAAGACGAGTGTTATAAATTCTGATTTTTCCACATACAATCGTCGAGAGGAACCGGCAGGAACTTCTTCTCTTCTTCTATTTCCTCAACAATCTTGTTGAGGAGGTAGTTTAAGAATTCGTGCGCATCCTGGTGCATTGTATTTCTAAACGCCTCATTTAATTCTTTGAGTTTGTCTATGAATGCTCGGGGGGCAACGGTGCCTTTGTCAGCTGGGTTCTGCGAGATGTGAATGTACAAGGAGCGAAGTGCAGACACCAAGGTCCGTGGTGATGAGGGGATCGGTGGTGTTGGAGGGTTTACGATACCGGTTTTTGGGGGAGATTCTTGTACAGACTGGCGCTCTGTTTGTTTCGAACGAGCGGCGGCTGCGGGGGAAGCGGGAGCGGCAGTGGGAGCGAACTGCGAGGATAGAGCTGCTTGGATAGCGATGCACGGATCTGCATGCTGAATTACGAGATCTCGAAAGGGACTGCAAAAATATAGAGCCTGTAGAACAGAGTTGGCATAACTTTTAAGTCATCAGCGGGCGGTTGGAGTGTGGGAACGAAGTAAGTCGTACCAGGTGTTGCCAAACTACGGGAATAATGGAAATGAAGATCATTTGTGGAGATGGAGTAGTTAGATGACATACATTCTCTAGACCAAACTGCTTTCCATCGGCGCAAGGGATTGGCAACGGTTGCGGGACTGGATGGTCGCTAGTGGTTTGTAACACAGGTTGACCAAAAGGATTCCATTTCCCTATAGCCATAGTTCAGAGCTCGGGTAACGAGCTCTGTGATAGAAGAAGATGGCGGTTCAAATTCGGAATTGAGGGAAGATTGGTACGGCAGAGAAAGCTCGTTATGAGTAGCATCAAACAAGTTACTGACATGGATTTCCACCACAAGCGACCCGGCCCCCTTGCTCCGGTTCTATAAAAGGTAATTTCTCGCGTGGTAGACCAAGGCACTGCAGAGGCTCAGCTGACATGTGCTGCAGCATATTGCAACCAGCGCTCACCAGCTCCACTAATGGCTGCGCATCAGGCATGCACGGATTTCATGTTATCTAAGTTGGTCTACCGGTGTGGCATGCCGACGGGCCCCATGGCTTGGTTTCCAAAATGAGCAAAGGTACCATGTACGTAACCCAATCATTGCAATCCATGACATGTCCATCCGTGCCCGTGTGCCTCGCCGCCCGGGACTTTGTTAAATCACCTCCTTCAGGCTCTGTACTGCTCTTATCATTGCCTGAAACTCGTAGCGCTGATCAAAAACTATGAATCTTCTCCATCAGTGTTCTCATTGGTCTGTTCATGCTGTTTGACGCTTTACTATCTCACGCCTGCTCATCAGACCCTGTCGAATAGGCAACCATTGGTGCATCATGCGCTACCAAGAGTAGCATAAGGAACTATCGCAGGCATTTCATAATGTCTACCATAAATCAAATCAGGATCTCTATTTGGCGTTGAAGCCAGACTATGTGGTAATACGCAAGAGTTGATTAAAAATGAAACACGACAACACCTTCAAAGATGGCTCAAGTCAAACGAATCCCGTCTCACATACGTGGATCCAATCACCGACCTTCACCACGCCATTCGCGGTGAAAACTCCATTGCACCCCATACAGGGTAACCTAGGCCGCTCGGGATCCAGGCCTCTTCTATGCTTCATCAAAACTTTTAATGGCACGGCCTTGTCACGTACACCGGTCTCGGGATGTACATTTGGCAGCTGCGAAAGTGATAAATAATCAGCAACCATTTTTGAAAGGGAATAGCATATTCGTACCACGCAACGAGTGCATTTACGCACAAGCCGAACGATTGACGATGCCCCTTCGACAGGTTCGTGATGGGAATCGATAGTGAATTCGGTGAGTATATCCTCGAAGAAAGGTGCGCCGGCTCCTTTAATCACTATGTTGGGGCGGAACCTGCAAGCGAAAAGAAGATGAGCAACAATCCGAAGTTGCACGAGCTTGGACCAAAAAAGATGGGTTTACCTTTCTACCTGTAAAGTGTCGCTAGACCACCTTTCCTCTATGCCCTGCAGGCCCACCATCCCTCTGATCTGCTCCTGCGCGGCCGCGACACTTTCCTCGGACACTATCAATAAAGGGTACCCATCCTGAAAATATGAGGGTGCATCTAGGTTGGGAAACCGTAGAGTCGGCGGACAGTTCCGCCGGCGTGAGCCCCTCACAGCCAAGTGTACTGGCATCCCCATATATTCCGAAAGTATCTCTGAGGGTGACCTTCCTATGTTGGTCTGGCATACGTACCCCTCGATGTCATCCTTGCCCCACAATGATATATTGAGACTAGTAAACACATGGTTAGACATCGGGCCGCACTGACACATAGCTGTACTCACTTTTCCCAATCCTGAAGTTGTTCCTCGGTGGGGTTTAATGGTACGGAGAAGGCCTCACAGCCCGACTCCTTTGGGAAAGACACCTCGAGCCGGCCAGCCTCTGAAGATGAGGCCGGAATGATACGAGGATGTATAAGAACCATCTGTACCGAATTATGACGGTGTCTACAGTGCCACTGACGGCATAGGACGTACCTTAGCCACATCTCGGGCAGTCACGACTGCATTATTATGTGTCTTTATTATGCACCATCTACGATCATTCTACAGCACAGTCAAAAATTGATTATCAGAAACATATTTAATGCACTGACATCCAATCCGTGAAGAGTGTAATTTGCCTCTGGAACAGAAGTGCCCTTACAGCTCTACAAAATCAACACAGCTAACAAAGCGGAAATCAGCGTCACACACCTTGATGGGGTGAATGAGAATCTTTGTTACACGTATATTTGACGTATCGAACTTCGAGTGATCTGGGGCAGCAGATCCGGCTTCTCCCTTGTCTGATCGACCACTAGCTAATGAACAGATTAGATATTAATTCAAGCGACTGAAGGTATCGAGTGGCGTCCCAACAACCTTCCAAAAATATGCTAAAGCACTCAGGAACATGGCGCACCTACTGATTTTGATTTTGATCTCTGCGATAGAACTAGATAGGCAAAGGGCGCAAGGAGAAAGATGATCGAAATCCACAAGGTTTGCAACGTGGCACGACCGTGTTCCCAAATTGTTGGCAAGTCCACCATCTGTGTCATTTTCGTTTATGGAGTTGGCTCTTGAAGCTTGAAGGCTGTTGTCCTCGTTACGCCACACTGCTGGTCCTGCGAGGCTCTGCGATGTTCAATTGGCCAGGAATTCGGGTGAAAGTTGTATCGGGAGATGGGAAACAATGTGGTAATTAAACAGCAAACCTGGCCAAAGACTCGGATGTTTTCGCTGGTGCGCGCAATGAAAGTACTGGTGGGAATAAGTGGGAAAACTCTCAGAGGGCTGTCTCACAAGGTCCCATTTGATGAAGGCAGAACCGAGTCATTCTTACAGGAAGTCATTAATCATTGCCATCTCAGGACACATGATACTAGTACTGCCGAGCCACGGAACGCCTCGGGAGTCGGGACGATACCATCCAAGTTGATCAAGGTAAGATTATCACCGTCACGGTAATGAACGAAGTACACTTGCGGCCAACTTGCTCCTATGCCACCGCGTCATGCAGCGCCAACGCGGAGATTCTCAGAGCTTCATAATATAACCAAATTACGGACGTCTCTTCTTAAAAATGATGTGGCAGTAGACTGGTGTGCTGGCACCATGCCATATATATTTGATCCCTGCTTTCAGCTCAGCCCTAGACCTGAAGCTTGAGATTTCAAAAATCAGAGTCGGCGACACAGTGACACAGTCGCAACGTATTATCATGCTCAGTGCTACAATCTGATGGACGTACAACACCTTCGTCTGCATAAACTTCCCCACTGCTCATTCAATCGTGCTATGCCGTTCTCAAAATGATGTGCACACCACTGTCCGTGCTGATGATGTCACTGAACTCTCCGACCTGCAGACCAAATGCAGCGTCTTCAAACGGCTTCTGCATCTGACCCTTCGAGAAGGGCCCGAGGTTTCCCTTCTGGGAATGCGACGAACAATCGGAATGAATACTCGCCAGTTCTTCGAACTTCTCCCGCGAGTTGCCAACCTGGGCCTGATATCCTCGGAGAATGTCAGTAGCCTCTTCCTTAGAGCGCGTAATATTCGTCTAGGAGTATACAATGTCAACATGGGTCCCTTTTTGGAAGGCAGATGTAGGCACACCTCCTTCCAACTCGATGGTCGCCGACTGTCTTTGTGCTTCACCAACAAATGGCTCGCCGTGATTGTCCCAGCCCCTCCACTGCTACCGCCGCTCAGGTACTGTGAACCGGGAAGAGACTTGATCTGATCATCCGATAGTTCTGAGGGGGCATCCCAGCTTGATTGCTTGGTGGCAGCGTTGAAGTAGTATGGTATGCCCTTCGAGTTGGACATGCGAATTTCCCAGCCAGATGACTGGGTGGGAAGCAATATGAGACAAGATCGTGGTTGAACATAGTAACCTGCGGTTACTCACCATCACGAAATTTATCTGATGTGAGGAGGATGTGGCTTTCGTTGTGTTCGTGGTTCGTTGTGACTGCTCATTTCAGCATTATGTAATGCACTGTTTTAGGACAAGAGTATGTAAAAACAAAGTAGTTGAAGTAGATTGTCATGTAATAAGACACGGTGGGGCTCTATGGGCCCCTGTGTCTCAGGATTAGACTGGGAAGTCTGGGAGACAGAATGTTAGAGACTAGTTGGCCGGTCTGGGACAACGTCTGGGCTAAAGTATGGCAACCAACGGCACTCCCAACGGAGTTTAAATCCTGTTCGACGTTCCGAACGGTCATACCAATCAAATTGAATCAATCCTACCAACACGCCCGCCGCTGCCTAACATCTCGTTGGAATACTACATGTTCGTGGTCCGCCTCAACTCTGCCTACATCTCCTTGCCTGCCCGTTATTGAGGGGGGGATATATCAAGGCAGCCACGATGCTGACAATGTGCGGCTGAAGTTGGATGGTGAGGAGGCTAACGCATCGCGAGATCGATATATGACATATCGGCGAGTTCATTGTGTTGCCGCATAGCAACAAAAAGGTTCCCAAACGTCCATGGAAGTAAGTCCTCGGCGCTGTTGCAGACAGTGCGCGAGAAACAATATCAGCTTTCATACTCCGCTTGGAGGTGCCGATGGGCCAGACTTACTTTGGCCCAGACTTTGTCCCTGGCTATGCCGCTATTTCAATCCCCCTGGGAGAGTACTTGCCTGAAAGGCTGAGAGTACTAATATTAATACTGGGTGAATTGCGGCGCAGTGAGAGTTCTATCCTTGGTCTGTCTAGACCGCAGTCATCGAATGATCAGAGGGACTAAGTATGATCGTGAGCCTTTTGGGCCTCACTCTTTTACCAACGACGCACGGGTTCTGCAGGAAGTCGATCCCGCCAGAACAGTGAGCAGATTTAACTCATTCTCAAATAGGTCCTCAGTCGCACACAGGTGGTAGACTTGGCTATGTCAGAGCTATCTAGATGTATACGGCGTCGAGATGACTGGTGGAATCTATTTAAACGTCCGGAAGCTCGCGCTCGGTGGGCTGCCGAAGCCCTCGGCGAGCCTATGGCTGTACAAGCACCAGACCACAACCTCAAAGTCTGGCTGACTCCTAATCAGGTTGGCAAACCTGCTTGAATTTTTTGAAGAGTTAATAATGCAGTTTCGTTTTGGGGTAGGTTGAATATGTTCTAGAGGAGTTGCAGGGCTATGCAAGCCTTCGCGACGTCGAGAATAATTGGCAGGCCCTCTTTTCTGGATATCAACAATAGGCACTGGCATACTCACATGCTAACAGTCAGGTTTCCTGCTTTGAGCGCATTTGGGAGTCTCAAGCAATACTTGACAACTCAACGCGCGCAAGCCTCAATTGTCAACTCTCTCGCTTTCTGAACACCCTTCCAGACAAACTGGCACGTCGCGAGGGAGACGAACTAACGCGTCGCATTATAGACCCATACCTGTACCCTCTCGTTTATGGTCGGACGCTTGCTTACGACTCAGCCATGGAAGAGTTTCTTCGTCCTGAGCTAGTATCCGACGTTACAGACGCGACCGGCACAGATTTTCTCTCCCAAAAATTTGCATGTTTGCCTTGCGACTTTATCATATCTCAGGACGGCACAGCAAAGGCTCTCTCGTACATAAACAACCTCCACCCTTGCTACTCTGCACTCTATTGCCACTTCGAGGAGTTGCTCTCGAAATGTGTTCCCATGTTCGAGCACGTCCTCACGGACTTGCATGTAGACAACCCGACCAGAGTGCGAATACAGGGACCTTCGTCGGCAGAGTGGGAAGAACCGGAGCCTCCAGATTTCTCGCACGACTCCGTGGATTGGTCTGCGTTTGAGAGTAAGAAGCGGCAGTGGATCATGCGCCGGTCGATTGTGCCTGACGTCCCGATCACTGGTTACCCAGGTGGGCTTGAAGAACGCGGAAGTATTGTGCAACTCAGGGGGAAGACTCTCCAAGTCATACATGACGTTTATGATATCTGCATTGTATGGTTCGCTTTTCGCACGGTTGCCATTCTCTAAAATCGAGTTCGTTTAGAAACCAGGCGGCCCTGCATTTCAGGGCTCTCAATGGCGCGTGGAGGGCATGAAGAACGAACGTATCGTCGCCTGTGTGCTTTATAATTCATCAAGTGTATGACTCATCTCTTGATTTGTTATGCAACACCTCAACCATTTTTAGGAGAATATTACTCACAACTCGATTGAATTTCGCATGGCTGTCAAAACACCGCCCGCGTTTCCCAAGAAAGGATACCAGGACGTAACAATGAAGACTTGGGGTTTACAGGCAAGAAAACCTTGTCATCAGTATATTGGCGCTGTCCCAATTCGCGAAGGACTATGCATCGCGTTTCCTAATATTTATCAATATCATATCACACCATTCTCATTGGCCGATCCGTCAAAGGAAGGCCACCAGCGCATCATCGGGCTGTACTTGGTTGATCCAAGTATTGTGCCGCTGGCATCCACGCAGAGAGTCCCACCCCAACAAAAGACGTGGACAAGATTAGGTCTCGAGAAGGGGACTCGTGGAATCTTTGCAGTGGAGCTCGTTGATAAAGTGCTTGATGAAGTGGACGGACTCATGGATATGGATGAAGCGGTGAAATATAGGGAAAGAATGGTGAAGGAACGAACCAGGTTGTCAGTGTTGAATGATGTACAGCGCTTCAATATCCCATGCAACAGCTGATTATCAGGTAAACTACAACGACAGGTATCCTAATAAGTTCGCTCTTGATCTTCTATATATCCGTGATTAGAAGTGTGTAGATAGACTCTTGTACCACTAAATTATTGTTGGGTATATCCTTGAGGGTTCATCGACTGCCAGTTCCATAAATCTCGGCACATAACCTCGAGAGGCTGCGGCGCCTTGAAGCCCAGCTCCCTTTCAGCCAGCGCAGGATCCGCAGTAAGATCAGGAACATCGCCGCGGCTGTTCAGACTTTGTAAATAAGGGATGATTACTATAAACGAGAAATGAACTTGCCGTCTCCCAATGACCTCATATTTGAAATCGAATCCTGTAGCCTTGCGCATCGCCTCGACAATCTGGAGGACACTCATACCCTTTCCTTTCCCTAAATTGTAAGCTTTGTAGCGCGCATCATCAGGGCAGTTATCAAAGATAGCAGATTCAGGCGCAAGTGCGTCAAGAGCGAGTAAGTGTCCGGAAGCCAAATCAAGCACGTGGAGGTAGTCTCGGACGCAGGTACCATCCCTACAATCCTACATGAACACTGAACGTTAAGAAATGGTATTAAATAAACTCACGGAGTGGGGTAATCATTTCCAAACACTTGCAAAGTGGCAGCGTCTACACGCCCAATAGCCATATGTGCTAGCAAAGGCAACAAGTTCCCCGGGCGACCGCGGGGGTCCTCGCCTATCAATCCCGAGGGATGCGCACCTGCAGGACTGTATGCAAGTCAGTATCAGTATATGCCAGTAGACAAGAAGAATGTATCACTTGAAGTAGCGAAGTGAGATGGCACGCCATCTATTCGGTTCAGCTGTTGAAGGGGTGTTAGTGGGATCTCAGGTACAGCAAGGGACGCTTACCGTGGCACAAATCGTCGATAACCATCTCAGACATGACTTTTGTCTTGCCGTAAGGGCTGTCTGCTTTAAGACGCGTCGTTTCAGGAATTGGGATCACAGGGGGTGTTCCGTAGACTGTAGCAGAAGATGAATAGACAATGCGAGTGCAGTCGAAGTCTGACATGGTCTGCAGCAATGACACCGTAGCAGCAACGTTGTTCGCATAGTATGTCAAGGGAATCTCAACAGACTCGCCGACCGCTTTGTACGCCTGAAATTTTTTATTCGGAACAATCCAACTTGCGTGAAAAAAACCAGTACTGACAGCAATGTGAACAACACCCCATATTCCACCCTTGCCATAGCGTTCAAAGATGCCCTTTATTTGCTCCGGGCTGGTCAAGTCGCACTGAAATACATCAATTTCTGTGCTCTCCTTGTCTGCCTCCGATGGGTTTTCGGGAAGTGTGTCTTGCGCAATTTGGGCTACACGAGTGAGCGACCCAGGGAATGAGTTGTGGTAGTTGTCGGCAGAGATAACTTTGTATCTTCTTGTCTGCTGTAGAGCGTAGATGACATGTGAGCCTGGATAATCGATAAAACTTCGCTCAAAACGCAAGCTGAACAAGTTGTGCCCCAAGATAATTACCAATGTAGCCAGCTCCACCAGTCACCAGGACACGCTGTAACGACAGAATATGAGCCTACCCGAAATATGAGATATGCGTTGAAAGTACGCACTCGCAAACCGGTGGATGTGGACATCGTCGAAGGTTGAAGAAAGCAGAATTTACGGAATGTTGGCAACCGACTTGCAATGTGAATTCATCCCGAAGTTTGGCTCTGAGACGCATGATCACGGCCGCGCCTCGGCAAGCACTGTTAGACTTTTCTAATTGCATCATGGGCTAAATACGACAGGGAAAAATAGTAGGTACTAAGAAAATTCTTGACAGCGAAATAGTACAATTATATTTAAGCCTTGCATGCATCCTCCCAATTCGTACTACGAAGCGAATTCCGAAATTTCGAATTGTCTTCTAGCCCATCACCGATCTTCCATCTTTACATCTCCTTCAGCATCCAATGGAATCCCTGCAGTCCCCGTGGCATCACCTGCCTTGCCGGCTTTGCGGTCCTCGTGCCCTTGCGTGGTCGACAGAGAAGATACCATCTCTTCGGCCTTCTGCGTCTTCTGATTCTTTTCTCGTTCCTTCTCTATTTCTATCTCATTGGCAAGTAAAACAACATCTCCCGTACCGATCTTGCCAAAATGCTGCAGATATTGATCTCGTGCTGTACGCAATGCAAGCCATGACCAGCGTTGTCTGTTCTGTTCAAGCTTGTCAGTGAGATCATGGAAGAATAACTGCATTTTGTACCTCTTCATATCGAGCTATCTGGTCATCAGTAAGAGAAGAGGCAGGTGGTGGAACAGCGATGGAGGGAGTTTCTGAGACTGAGGCCGCAGCTGGAGGAGTTGGTGTGGGTGCTGCTATCGTTGAGGATGGCGGTGCGAGAGTGATTGGGGGACGAGCAGGACTTGATGCGCCCGCTTCTAGGAATGACTTTACTGGGGATGAGCCAGGTTTTGGGGGTAGGGATGGATGCAAGGGCGAGCTGGAGATACTGGGTGTCGATAGCAAAGCAGAGAACGAAGCTGCTGGCAGCTCCACTTTGGATGGTTCTGCTGGTGTCGATGCGGGAGCTGGTGTCTCTTGCCGTGCACTGGACTCTTGTAGAGCAGCTGCCTTGGCTCGCGCTTGAGCCAAGCGTTCGGCATTCTTCACAAGCTGCTTTCTGCGCATGTCAATGCGAGCATCTTCTTGCTTGACTTTCTTCACGAAATCCTTAACATCACCCGGCCTGCCCGGTCAGTCAGTATGAGGTCATTGAATAGATGTGAAATCCTTAACTGGAAGGGATTCTGCAGGTCAGACAGATCCCTGTACCCCATCTCCCATATCTCAGTCAGCGACTCAGATCCTAGGTTCCACTTCCACGACTCAGGAGCCTTCTTTCTATTCGACCGAGCTTCCCTCGTGGCCTCTTCCATCCCTACCTTTCTGCCACCCACTTCAGCCGACCATGGCTCCCTATCAAAAGGTGCGCAAAGGTCATTCTTCCACTTCACCCAGTTCTTTTCCCGGTCAAGAATAACATTCACAGTATCGGCAAATGTAGGACCGTTTGGAGCGGTGGACCGCAGCTCCGCAGACACCTTTGTGATGGTGTCATGAACCCACTGCGCATCTGCAGATTCAAGTGTGAAGTCCATTTGGAGAGATCTATTCCTGGGCGTGGACCACACAGCCTTTGCGACTTTAGTGAATGATAACAGATGATGAAGGAGGATAAGGAGTTGGAACAGAACTTGTCGACGAAAATGGGTATCCGCAATCTACGAAACTTCAGTGATCTGCATGTTTAAGAAAGCGGATAAATACCTCTAGATTAAGAAGGTCTGGACTTGTCAAGAACTTTGCGAAGAAGTATTCGCTATTATTGCTCGTTTCACCCAACTCTGGTTCTCGCTTGCGTTTTAGGTTGTTGCTTGTACCACTGGTGCCTCTATTGCCCATCATGGCGCGCTCCTTCGTGGTCGCCTCCTTGATGACAGGTAGAACCTTGTCCACAGCATCCTTAAATTCTCCGAATGTATTGGGAAAAGCAAACAATGGGGGTCGGGAGAAAGGCAGTTGCAGGGACCAGAACATAGTGTAGAAACCTGAGAATGACATGAGGCACAGAACATCACGACAGAGTTCTAACCTACCGTCCTTATCTTTGGAATCTGCAGATTCCTTCTTTCCAGCGTCTACCTCCATTTTTTGGCTGTCTTCAAGTCCCCTGCCTGCCTCCACATATTCGTCCTTTTTCTCAACGTCCTTGACACCTTCCCACATAGGCCCATACTCTCCTCGCAAATTGACACCACTTCTTTCACCCAGAGGGAAAACGCCACTCAGAAAGGTCAATATACGACCACAAAATATCGTCGTAGAGCCCATCTTTGAGAGGCGGCGCAGAAGATCATTGAGAGTGCGCAGTAGTATGAGCGCTTTGCCCTTCTGCGGGACCATGTCCTTGGTGAGTCGAGAAGCACTTGACTCGATCCAAGAGAATATTTGTGAGCAAGACGTGATAGTCTGTGTTTCGAGTAGATCCTGAAGAACAGTAAAAGGGAAGGTTGCCTCGCAAACATCTTTTATGGAGTGAGCGCTTCGTATACAAACTGTGATTAGAGACCACAAACCGTGTTCAGTGAATGTCAACACCAAGTCGAGTCTGTCGCGAAGACCATTATAGTACAAGGTGCTGTCGCACTTCAATGCACTACCCTCAGTTGCCTACAGAAGTATTGATCAGGAACGATGAAAACCAAGAAAGCAAGCACGTACTGCTAAGGTGAACACCTCATTCTTAAGGAGGAACTCCCATTGACTTTTGACGTTGTCTGCAGAAGACTTGCCTTGAAACTTCTCGACCTCTTTTCCTACTAGTTCATGCAACGATTTCTGATCGAATGGACGTTGGGGGAAAGATTTGAGCAATAACTGAACACTCTGCGTCTGTGAGTTCATTGAGGTCGTTGGAACGAAAGTTCTTGCCGAGATGCCGTGCTTGTTTGTCAGGACTAAGTTTAGCCTTTGACTATTCTGTCACTCAAAGATCGTTCTGCATCATCATGTCCAACAACAACACTGCCGACACTGGATCCAATGGTCCTCCGATTAATAGACTAGACAGCAGTCTTGAAACAGACATCGCTCATTTAAATACTCTTTTGTTAAGCGGCTCATTGGACGGTAGTCACGAAACAGAAGACCTGATGGAAATGCTGGCACGTCTGGATAGTGCTGATGGTGTGGCCGATGGCATTGAAGGGAGGTTGGACGGGATATTGGGAACCCTGGATAATCTTTTGACATCCCTCGAGACCCGTGATGAGGCGAGCATCGCGGAGAAAGCAGTATCAGTAGAGGCAGAACAAGTCATCGTCTCATCAACAGAGAGCAATACTACCGACGGGCCTACTCCCTCGCATTAGCAAGGCAGTCTCTGCAGTGAGTAACACTACAGTTTATTGATCATATACCTGTGCTTGATACCGTTTTGTACTGCTTGTCGCAGTCGTTCACAACGTGCCGCGACATCACAAGCGACCTCACAGCAAGTCCTTCAAATATGCCTAGCATCAGTCATGACACACGACGAAGTCGTCATTAGTCGTGTCTCTGAATCATTCTGCAGATGGGCCTACTTAATCTCGAGAAAGATGTTGTTTGACCCATGCGAAGAGCTTGGATAAGCACGGGGTCGCAGTCCTCAGAGTACTATACTCATGTCAGGTCCTGTCTTCAACTGTTATAACTGCTGTAGGGTGTCCCTGACCGTCGGACTCTTCAAAAATGCACTCTGTCTGTAGGAGATTTGGGCTGTAGGTCATAGCCGAGTCCACAAATGACTTGGTATTGAAAAATTGAAATGTCTTTCATGTAAGTGAGCATACACTATCGCGCTATGTGTTCAAATCCTCCGGGGAATAGAGGGACACAACTAGTGCATGAGAGGAATCATGGGATATCAATATTACGGATCATGTATCAATATCCTCTATAGTCATCGGATCAAAACGATTTACAGTACGAACAATGTCCCGGTCCTTCTTTGCGAAAACAAGCTAGAAAGCAGTTAGTCGTATCACATCAGGAATGGCATCATGTCCACACTTACCAAGTACGGATTCGCAGTAGACCCTGTGGTGTCAGCCAAGACCTCGTTTTTCGACACCTCCGTAACCTGATGGTCATTGTACTTGAACCAATTATCAGGTTGTTCCGGTATATGTCTTGAATAGAAGAAGTAGTGTCCAAATGAGGGTGATGAGCCACGATGTATGAAGACGGAGGTCAGCTCATATGCGACCGAGGTATCATCTTTCCAAATATTCTCCAGCTCTTCCTTCAGCTTCGATATCGTGTCCTTGAGTTCGACAATCTCAGTCTCGATCATATCCTGTTCGCCGTTGATGTTTGCAATGAGCTCTTCATCGACATCCGGGAGGATAAGCGTTTCTTGCTTTGACAAGAAATCAAGCGTGTTTTTGAGCGATGCAGGGAAAGGTGCGTGCTAAGGTAATCTATGCAGTTAATTCACAAGAAATACACACAGGGGCCTTACCTTATCATGTGTCAGCAAGCGCAGACGTTCACGTCGCATGTTTAATTCCGCCTGTACCTCCTTTGACCTAGCCCTCTTGCCTGGATCTGCGGTATCAAGGAACCGGTCCATATATATCGTCTCGCCAAACTTGACATAAGCTTGCGATTTGTATGGTTGGAGGGTCTCTCTGTTGAATTGCACCCGCTATTCACTTGTTTAATATATATCGCTGAGTTATCTGGACAACCACTTACTTGAAGTTGGATCTGCAATAATGGTGGTAGATCGACCAGTGTCACCTCCATTCTAGCTTTCTCGCCTTCGTAGTCAACGACATCGTCAAAGTATCCGCTTAAGCCATCGTAGATATCAAAGCCGCTATCGGCTACATTCACGGGAAGATGCGAGAAGAGGTCTTCTTTCTCGTGTGCCGAAGTTCTGGGATGCCGCTGGGCGGGGACTGGTGTAAGTCTTTGCCGCAGTTTCCCATAGAATAGCCTGGCGAATTGCAGGTTCATGTATGTGCCTGATGGAATTCAAAAGTACTCGCCTCTTCACAACACTATTCTGATTGTCTGAGTCACCCAGCCCATCGAATTTCAGAAGCGCGATCTCAATCTGGAACATGCAATTGTCCATGCATTCAGAGACATCATGTTGCTTTCCTACAACCAAGTATTTAGATATAACATCATTCGGAGTATAGTGTGCCTCACCAAACATCATAACCGAGTCTGATTGAGTAGGCTTGCGTGTAGGTAAGGGAGGAGCCGTCTTCTGCTCCTCAACCTGCGGGTTCTCATGGTTCACAACCTCCACATCTGGAAGCGGGGATGGCAGTGGCATCGTGCTTGACGAGCTTTCCCCATGCAAGCGAGGAGACTTGGACCCACGAGATGGTTGGGATATCATGACGTACCCATTCTTCTCTTCCGTGATAGGAGACGTGGGTGTATCAACATCCATATCCATGCGTTGCTCGTCGCGTGGCCGCTTACCGAGAACCGAGCCATTTGAGTCAGGTGACCGCATGAGCCCGTCCTCAACAAGCGTTGCATCTGTGTCGTTCGAGGAATCGGTACCGCCTCTGTCAGCTTCCTCCTCCTCTTCGTCTCTTGATGTTACGAGTGCTAACTTCGCAAGATCGATAGTCGGTGTGACAGCCTGGTTCTCACAGAATTGGAGCTGCCAAAACAAATCGGCCAACTGACTGACGACTACATTGATGATAGTTTTAGCTTGGGATAAAAGGAGTGGGTGGCAGACATACATTTCTTCGATCGCAGTATCTCGCGCCGCGTAATTAGCCGCCCGCCAACCCGATGCCGTTTCAGGTCGTCCTCCGAGTACTTCTCGTCTTCAAGGGCCTTCACATCAATGTTGGCCATGGAAGCGACAGCTTCACGAAGCTCCCTAATTGTGTAGAAGTATTGGAGCAGCGAGTTCAAATAACAGGTGTTTCCAAGTTGATTCAGGCCTCTTGGAAGATCAGCACGCGTTGAAGCCACAATATCTCCAGCTGAAGCGCCTCGGTTAAATAGTACATCAAAACCTGGGCAGGTACTTACGATCTTTGCCTTCCTCTAGGAAATGACGCAGCCGGCTGCTGTCCCTCACTTCTGCAATTGTTCTCAACGCTTCGCGCCACTTGTCAGATTGATGGGGCTGCTCCTCGACCTATTGATGTTCATCAGAACCGCAAATGAGGCCACGGAGCCTCGCATACCCGCATCATGAACACCGTCAACACAAGTTCATCGTCCACATCCGCGGACACCTCTAGTACCGAGTATGCACGTGAAGGGTCCATCTGGTTCTTTGACGACTCAGAGAACAGCTTCATAAGCCTCTTACTGCCCCTCGATTGTGCAATTATCCTAAACGCCTCGTTCGCATCACGTTGGAGCTGTGCGCAGTCCTTTGCGTCACGCCAGGCATTTTTGATGGCCGTCCGCCACGCTTCCGCAAGAAAGTCGTCTTCAATGTCATCTTCAAGCTCCAAGCGTAGTGTGCCGTCCTTGCCAAACCCAAGAACTGCAGCAGCTTTTTGCAGGTCCTCCTCCGTGAATCGCCCACGAGAGCGTTCGTCGAAAACTATGGCCTGCAATTCCTGAGGCGGAACGCTACCGAGGGATTGGATTGCGGCGACGATTGCGTAGAAGTGGGTGAAGTAGAGTATTGTATTGGCAGGGTCGCAACGGCATTGAGCCATATAGGCGAAGATGAGAATATCTAAGCACCGTTAATACTGAGCAGATCTAAACGAGCGGACTGTTCAACTGCTTACCCGGAGAACATGTTGTAGGGGTTATTCCTAACGTCTTCCACGTCTGCAGTAGAGGTATATACTCCGCCAATGAACCTAACGGATACGACAAGGACGATCTCGGGACTGTACAAATAGCTCAGGTCTGCCTTTCCACACAGCAAAACTTAACCTTACTCTGATCAGGGTGTGCACCGATCGCCTGTTGGTACATCTCTCGGGCACCGTCAATTTTGACGTACAAAGGGTGTGGCGTATAGGACTTAAGCGCAGATGCTGCGCTTCATGAGTGAGTGATACAGGAAACTAACAGTATCTCTTACCGAAGCGACGTTCGTAGTCTACTAGATACGCATTCGTCTCGACCCAGAAACGCAACAGCTTCATACGTGCCTCCTGACCTTCTGGACTGCTGAGTTCAGTATTGGGGGGTGACAGAAATTCGTCTGTCCTCTCCTCAGGTGTGCCCGGAGCTTCGATGCGTGTGATGACTTCGAACCCAAGTTGCTTGAAGATATAGCTCCTGCAAATGAATTCGTAAGCTGCATTGAACAACAAAATGAAAGCTCCTGACGTAGTTGGGGACCACCCGATCTTGTTCTGGAACGCCTTCCCGGAAATGGAGAGCTGACCGTTCTTGCCTTTCCATAATTTGTTTTCGATAATTCTGTAAAGAGATGAGATATCATCACGCACGGAGCGAATTGATGGGCGTACGAGATCAGTGTCTCCCACCCACTGACAACAGACTCGTCGGGCTGCCTCCCGATGGGAGGGTGTTCATATCTATACTTCGTGAAATCCTCCAAGTATTTGAGGGCAATGACGCCGGGCATGGCTTCTGATGCAATGCAATAGACGGAGCACTGACAGCAGACATAAAGATCAAGCAGTTCGCCCTCTACATGTCCCTCGGGCAGGTCTTCGTTCATCTTGACATCTGATTCCTTGAATGCATAGTCATCGATATTAGCAGAAGTGATTTTCCGACGCTTTTGCTTTCTCTGCGCAGCAACTTCCCAAGGGGCACGGTGGAATGCTGGATTGAGCTGGCCTGAATCGACGGCCTTTGGGTAGCAGTGGAAGTGATGTGTTTTCTTGGACTTGTCAAAAGAGTCGTCAGTGCAAGAGCCGGTGCGTTTACGGCGGTCTTGGTCAGGGAGGGGTGGGTGCTTTTTGAAGTCGAATGATTTTGCAAAGGGAGGGACAATGGTGGATGTTTTCCACTGGAGGAACACCCAACCATGGTGTCGTCTGCAGTAGTATGTATTGGCATGAGGAACAGCGCGAAGGATTTCATCATGGCTTGGAGGAATGAAAGGGGATACATCCCCAGCCGGCCTCACGTCAGGTGCGGTAACGCTTACCGAGAACAATGAATGCTCAGCGTTATGCAACAGTTCAGTAACGAAAGGCGGCAGCATTCCCGGCCCTGGGCGGTTTCTCGTTCCCCGCAGTTCCGCATCCCACCAGTTCGTCTCCTCCTCCTGGTCCCGCGCATCAATATCCATGACCTTTTGGGATGTTCCGCCGGCCCAAGAATTGTCCCACGGCATCGGTTCATTCCAAGCATCATTTTTGTTCCAGTCATC